CAATTTTCGCGAAAATCATAACTTCTCACAGAGACGTCCATACGGCACAAACTCTTCACAATTGCGAAGGGTAGGCCAAAAAACATATGTACTGACGATTTCAGATTTTTTAGCAGCGTTCTAGATTTTTGGTGACCTAACTTAAAATGATCAAAGATTATATGGTCTTACTTTTCCATTTTTATTTCTGAGTTCAGTGTGAAACCAAGGCTCTTCAAAATAGCGTTTGAAAGCTAAAGCTTTTCTTTCTAACAAAATTAAAAGCAAACAAATCCGCTTAGATTTCGCGAAGTTACAAATTTTTGAAATGAAACGACAGAACTTTCGGACCCACCTAATAGATAATTTAAGCAAGAAATGACATAAAGAAGTTTCATTCTCGAATCCCGCTTTGAGTTCGTAATTCTCTAGATCACAAGAAAAAGCAAGATGAGAGAATGAGACGAACATGGGCAAAGTTGCAGTTAATACAATTGAAGAAAGTCCAAAATTGCCATTTCGCGCCGCAGGCAGCTGAAGCGGATGAAGCACAGTTCTAGCACAGTTCCGGCACAGTGCAAGAAGTGCGTGCTGGAACTGTTCCAGAACTTCGGGATCAGTATGAACTTAGCTTTAGTTTACTTGCCTGATTCTGAGGTACCTCGATCGAGGGTGCGTAGCAAGTGGTACCCGGGCAGCCGACTGCTGACGCAGCCAGCCGCCAGGGCTGGCGTCGGCGCAGCCGCATATGGTAGGATAATTGCGCGAGCCGTCCGAAACTCTCCGCTGAGAGATTCGCACCTCGTCGCGCTGAGGTGCGATATCAGCCTCAGGGACAGCGCGATAATATCGATTTTATATCAATATCTATATCATTTTAAACAGCAAAAAATTCCTAGTTTATTGAAAACCATGCAAACATATACAATACTATATACAACCGACAAATCTCCATAATTCGGCAAACAATTACAATTACAAAAGTGAAAAAATGACAAATCAAATGTTTTTTCTGTTACAATTGTTTTTTATATTTTGACAGCTCTAAAAATTGCTCAAAAATAGAAGTGTAGACAAGAAGAGAAAAAAGAAAGACAAAAAGAAAGACAAGAAAGGAAGTAAAAAGGAAGAAGACAAAAAAGAAGATTCGGAGATCTCATAAGCTACACGGTTAGCTTTGTCCTTATGTCTATTCAAAGGTATGCAGTTGTAACTCAAAAGATCTATCTTTACATGGATCTTTACGAACAAGTTCTCAAAAATCTAAAAAAGTGGTTTTTTATTTTTTAAAATTTTTTTCTCACGTACAGCAACTGATGTGTATTCTTGTTTGTTTTTGCAATATCATACTCGATGACCGGGTGAACTCCTTGTTAACTTACCTCAAGCCTCAGTTCCCCGCGGAATTCGTGGGGAACTTGGGGTTCGCGGGGAACCTCATTTAAACAAACCTTTCTTCTCCTTTGGACCTTCCGTCCTCCTCGGTTTTGAATTTTAGAAAACAAAGTTTTTGATAACTAAACAGCTTTGAATTTTGAATTATTTCACTTTCTGGTCATTTCATGAGATTTCATTTTGGACCATTTTCCTCTAGGAAAACTTTACTCTGTGTAAATTTGTTCATTTCCATTTTTTCAATAAACCAAGAATTTTTTGCTAATCAAAATGATATAGATATTGATAACATTATTGGTAATATCGCACTATCCGTGAGGCTGATATCGCACCTCAGCGCGACGAGGTGCGAGGAAACTCTCGGCGGATAGGTATAAGACGGCTAGCGTAATTATTCTACCGTATGCGGCTGCGCTGACGCCAGCTCTGGCGGCTGGCTGCGGCAGCGGTACCACTTGCACGCCTCCCCTCGATCGAAAATGAACCAAGCGGTTTTTAAAAAACCTCGCGACGCTCCACTTTGTAAAGCTCTCGAGCAGGCAGCGCTATGAGTTGCTTTATGTAGTTCACACCTTTGAACTAAAAAAGCAATAATCCGTTTGAGTTCGCAATTTTTACCTACGATCTTGTAATAAATGCTTATAACTTTCCACAAAGGCGTCCAGCGGATAGAAATGAAAGAACACTGTTTCAATCAGCGTTCCATGCTGCATTCAAAAGTACTCTTTATACCACTGAGAGTGGAGGTTGGTGGGTGGGGCTGGGCTCTTTATCTCCCTCGCAAACATGCTTATTAATTATTTCCCAGGCTTAACTAGCGATCGAATCCCCGCCTTTAACTCCTCACTTCCAATAAGATGGGTGCAGCTTCTCTGGATTGGCCACTTATAGAATTTGCTATGGTCTATCGAAAGATACCTTGCATTTCAACAGAATTGAGAAATTTTCGACTTATTACGGTAAAAATCAAACCTGGAAACTAACATATAGATTACTGCTTGTTGGGTTAAGCAAGATGTCAACGAGCGGTTGCGCAAAAACTTTATAGATTTTTGAAGTTTCAAGTTTTTCCAGATTTGATTCATACCGTGATAAGTCACAAATTTCTCAGTTCTGATTAAAATGCAAGGTATCTTTTGATAGAGCAAAGCAAGCTCTATAAGAGCTCGCACACGGTTCAGCACATTACGAGTTTGCAAAAAATGAAAATTTTTCTGTTCACCCAAAGGAAACACCAGATCCTGAAGTAGCTCACGCATGTACACTCCACATAAGACATTCGTACATGCCGTTGCCCTGTTTGTTTCTGTGCTAGAAGCCGAAAAAACCGAAATTTTTAAACTTCCAGGAAAGCGACGCTGCGCTGTTCTCGCATGGGTAAATGTATAGTACATGCCTCCCGAAATATATCGGTTAATTTTTAGGGGTGTAGGCCCTTTTGAACTCTTCGCGCGCGATGCTCGTTTCGCCGCGTGCGGCGCCGCTGGCGAAGCTAACAAGTCGCATTTACAGTCAACGGGGAAAATCCTTAGTTGAAGCATGTAATATGCATATGCTGTTTTGGAAGCTTGAAAATGTTAGTTTTCTCCCTTTCTAGCACAGAAACAAACACAGCAACAGCATACAATACTGCTCATAATTCGTCAAAAAAGTCGCCGGAGTGCGCTGCAGTGCGCCGGATTGCAGAGGAGTGCTCCGCACTCCACTAGAGTCTTCGGAATCCACGTCGCATCGCCATATCTCGCTTCAGAATGGACGAATTTTGAATCCGAGAATACCGTTCGAGCTCGGCGAGACGTATCCTCTGATATATGGAATCACAAAGTGTAGGGTTACGATAGGTTACGCTAGGCAACAAGTGTTCGCTCAGTTTCGCAGATTTTTGTTTGGTTGAATTTTTCATGTGCTGATAACAATATTGCCATTGATTTCTCGTTGATGACACATAGTAATAATACACTGTAGGAGTATGGTACTGCACCCCAATCAAATTTGTTCTAAAATCACTCTCAAGGTACAATATCGCTCACAGAATGTGCAAAACTTTTGTGAACCTGCATTTATTCCTTCGAAGTGAACACATTCTGAATTCGGAAGCAGCATTGTGTTCAGCTTTTCAATGCCATTCTTCTGATGTACAGCTGCTCTCGATTTTCCGTTTCCAGTTTTCTCAAATTCTTCTTTGGGGGTCCTTTTGCAAGGGTGTAACGCAGCGTCTGTGAATGATAAAAGATTCTAATGAGAACTATCTGATGATACTGTTCCTGCAAGTTATCGTGCGCTTAAAAGTAGCGCAGACTGCCTTCCAACAACGAAGGAAGCGTTGTTGGCACAGGGGGGTAAGTGGGCATGCTGATTTCGGAAACAACACAGGAAACGGGAAATGAAGTGTAGAAGTGGGCACAGGGAAAGGTTGTGCAGGGATAGGGATGGGAACTTTATTACAGTGTTTTGACAGGCCCGAGCGGAGCCGGGTAAGCAAGCTAGTCTCTCGATATACAGCATGTCTTTGATATTCCGATTCCAGCATTCTTGAATCTTTCTGCGGACGTCTTTTCGCAAAGATGTAAGCAGCGTGCATTGCTTTTAGTAGATTCCAGCAAAGACTTGATAGTGCTTTCTGGAATTTGGAGCGATAAAAAGCAGTAATTACAATTTCTTCATAGGAGATAAAAGGGCTAGTGAATTCTGGAAAAGTCGTGTGTTCCAAATTTTGCTCACCATAATCCTAACATGACGCTATCTTGCTAAGCAAATGTTGATTTTTTAGGTAACCGTAACTGAGTCACGAAAGTTTGTAACTTCGCCTGCACTTCTCGAGTATCTATCAGAAAATTTGCCTGCTTGTTTTTATAGGCGCATGTTCAGACTCGATTTTTTCAAAAATCGCCGAGTTACAAGCCTACGAAATCACGTCCTCATAAATTTTCCCAAAAGGTAAAGACCGCATACTTCGTTGGAAATCCTTCGTGAATGGTTCTATGACAATCTGGCTGCAAATATTATCTTCACTCAAGGATCCCACTGTATTAAATATGGTGGTTGCGTGAGCTTGATCTGCTTAACTAAATATCAAAGCAGTTTCGTAGCTAGAGCTCAGATCTATCTAGCCATCAAATCAACACAGAAACCATTGAGCGATTTGAACAGATTTAATCGGTGTGTTGTACAACCATTCACGCGATTCACCCTTCTAACCCTTCTAATGCGAATTTCAAACCTACTAATTACCAGCAAAGAAGTAGGCAATTTTTTTGAAAGAAAGCATATTAGGAAAGTGTAATTACTGAAGAATCTCAGGGAATCTGCAAATTGCTAGAATGGACTACTGGTTGCAGTAACAAAGAATAATAATGTCGTGCTGCTGGTGAGCTGCGATGACAGCCCATCTATCAAAGTCTTTGATCAAAGTTTATTTTTTCTATCTTCTCTGAAAAGAAATTTCATAGAGAGCCGGTGGAAAATTTGACGGTTCATTCGGGTTGCACTAACAAAGAATAATAATTTTGAGCTGTTAATGAGCTGCGATAGCTTCAGCCCATCTAAAGAAAGTCTTTCATTGACGTTTAACTCATCTCTACACTCTCTAAATAAAAATTTTATAGACAGGCGATGGAAAATTCGACATGTTGGTAGCAGGCAATAGCTATGCCGCCAATCAAGGCGGTTTAGTATACAAGGCCTTCAAGCCATATGCAAGGCAATTCAACATTTTTTCTGTGTCAAGTGCGTTAGTTCTCAATCAATGAATTTGAAAGATATGCGAAAATCTTCAGCATGATGATTTCAGCTTGTGAAATGTTTCCTCCCAACTGTAATCGTATCAGCTTCAACTTCACACAAATAATTGAAGAATTGAATCCAGCTGTTGTATTCATGATCGACAGGTTTTCATCAGTCTTTTTTGTTCTCCGGTAAAAACTTGAAGCTTCCTTAATTATAGATCTTTTTCTTTGAAAGTCTCGTTAAATGTAACAGAACCAATCGAGAATGACAAAGTCTTCAGCTACTACCTAAAAACATTGAAGTTTCTTGAGAAATCAACCAAGAAGATATGTAACTTGTATTCGTAACAGACTAGGTAAAGAAATCAATACTGTGCTTTAGATATACATTGTGCAGGCGATACCAAGTTGTGTAAATTCTTGTTCTCGTGTAGCTCTGCAGTACCTCAAAAAAGGAAAAGCACTACGCACAATTAAAGTAAGTTTCCAGCGTTGATTCTAAGGTTAAGCGCCATTAAGAAGTGTTTGCAATAAGTCCAGATGTGCATATCATTGGGTGCCCCTCTACACGGACGCGAAATTAAAGCAGTCTATAAGATGCCAAATTGTGTAAATGGATACCTCTATTGAATAATCGAACCGACTTCAAATTTTTGTAAATCTAAGTCAGGCTCATAAGAATATTTTTTAGCACGCAAATTTTTTGGAAAGCTTCTCGAAAACTTTCTGTCCAACGTCCTCTCGGGCCATCATTCGTGCACTTAGTAGAATCTAGAGTTTTTGTCTCATATCTCGGCCCGTCGGAGAATTATCTTTGATTCATTTCGAGGCACGTCTTGCACAAAAAGAAAGAGTTTGAATCACCAGACTTGAATCTCGTATTTGAACTCGAAAAAGTAACGTAAATTTCTGAATTCGCCTGTTGTCGATGAATAGAACTTGTTTGATGACAACAAAAATTAGCATACAAAGGAAAATATTAAAAATTAGTAAGGCAGTTGACTAAGTCCATGCTGCTCTTTGTTCCTTTCACTTATTTCTCATTGTCAGAAAATAACGTTTTTTTCTCATATCATTCCTTTTCATCTCAAATGTGACGCAGATTTGAGATTTTATTTGTTTCCATCAATAAAATATATGCAAATACAGCGCTAATCTGTCTTTGTGCGCACATCTTAGGCTGCGTTCACATGGATACCGAAATTCGGGAACAGCTCCAGCACAACGCTTAAAGTGAGCTTTGTGTTGAACTGTTCCCGGATTTCGAGATCAGTATGAACGCAGCCTTAGGCTTCTCAAGACAAAATGCAAGAAAAATAAGTGATTAAAGCATATTTGTTTTATGGTTGCGATACCAATAATATCAAGGTTCAAACGCAAAGTTATAACAGTCTACGGCAAAACTTCAAATAACTAGGAATTTTACTGATAATTAGTTATCTCCTTGGGGTCAGTACACATGCTCACCTCAGTTTTCAAGTTTCTCATTAGGTTGAAGTTGCGGAAGAAATTGATAATCTTTGACGGCTGCTGACATCAACATTGGCGCATGTTTTTAGTGTTTAGGGTGCTTTGAGGATCAGAGATTCGGAGCCAGAATTACAGAAACGCGATAACACTGTCAAAAACAATCCATATTTTTCGTCCCCTCTCTCTTCTCTGTAAGGTATTGTAGTTTGATAGTTTTTCCTCCGCTGATTACCAAAGAGTTCTCGAAAGTCCCACTTGAGTACTTTGCAAGACTCCAAAGTGGAGAAGGTAAAAAAAGATGGGTTTCGAAACGGCAATCTCAGCGCCTGTCGAGAGAACACTTTGAGAATAAAACATTTGGATTGTATCTTTCGGAGTTTGCGAATAGATCCTAAAAACGGCATGAACTATCTCACCTACCTATGTCTCAGAATTTTGGCCGAAATCGAACCTGATGATGCTATGATCAGAAGTTGCGCTCCTTTCATAGGTCAATCAAGGCAGCTATAGTTATAAATGATTATTCGTGCTCTTCCACGTTAATATTCGTACTTTTCCATATTGATCTCCGCTCAGTCGTTCAGGCAATGTCCCGGCAGACTTTTCATTTCGATCTGCGCATTTTAGATATTTTTGTGCAAAAGTCGGAATCGAGCTAAAAACCTGCTTAAATGACCTTAAAGGATGCTCGGACGGGAGTTGATGGATCGGAGGGTTCTGGCGCGAAAACCCTACCGTCTCTTTTGCAGTAGGTGGTACGTACAGGTGCGGTCGCGTTGCTCACGCAGAAAATAGAAACGGAATGTCCTAGCTGCGCCGATTCGAGAGCAGCTTGTTGCAAAAGTAATTCCAGCCGGATTAGGTCTGAAGCTTAGGAGTAAGCAGAACTTCGACCACAGCTACATCCCTCCTCCCTCACCCTATACACGAATTTGCCGCACGCTCCCTTTAATATGAGTAAAACAATGAGTAGTAGGCAAAGAAAGCTTTAGAGGCTACGGACACTTACTATAGTAACCTGCCTTTAGCAATCAAACAACGAGAAAACTCTGACGACAGCTTTAGTATAGCATTGCAACTTAACCTCACATTGCAGGATGCTCTTGTAAGAAGAGACGAGTTCTTTGCCCGTCATCGAATAAGGGAACTTTGCAAAAGGTTGTAAGATTTTCTTCAGTTTACAATGGAGATTTCAGTCTGACTCCTATCTCAGCTTTTTCTATGGAGTTCAGAAACAAGATTTGATTTAGATGTCGTAAATGTGAGATAGTCGACTACATGCCAGTGCTTGTTGATAAGAAAGGCCAATATCTCGGCTACGATCCTGAGACCAATCTCATGTATCTTGATCATGAAAACCATTTCAATAGATTTGGAAAGCAGCGACTACAGATTGTCTTTGACAAGCTGGCTGAGGAGTTCGCATTGTTTATGAACAAATAATCAATTGCTTGAATGTGATGTTTCGTCAGAAACTGTTACTGTTCACTTTTTTATGCAAACTTTGTTGGTGCTGTTAGAAATGGAAATGTACAGGATTCTATTTTTTCGCTGTTGTGGAAGGTGTCAGTAGACCAACCAACCGAAATTTAGGTTTCTATGACGCAACGTAAGCTGCGTTTTCCTTTCTCATAAAGTTTTTGTACGGGTGAGCTAGGCTTCGCAGCGTACGGGGCGTACGCGGCGTACGCAATACTGCGAACGCACAAATGATAAGATATGGGGCGTACGCGGCGTACGCCGCGCAGTCTCGCCTGCCTTTATCAGAGCTCGGCACAAGATGCAATTGATTGACGGGATTAATTTTTAGAAACGAGGTCCCCGTTGTCCGCAGTTAAAACACGACATCCCTTATGATACGGTCATGAATGGATCAACAACAACACAAAAAAAGAAAACAAAACACAAAAACAGCATTGAGTAGACGAAAAAACTAATGGTGTTCGTGTTCTCCAAGTTGGCGGATTGCTGTCTGGCGCACACCACCGCTCGCCTGGATTTACCGCCGCTATGAAGATTTCAGGGGCTGTGGCTGGTAAGCGGAGAGGAGGGGGTTTGAGGCGATTTGGCAACTACTCAAACAATTTACCGGAACTTCCGCAGAGCAAGCAAAATTTGCAGCGGTTCCGCAGGATCTTGTTTACTTTTTTGAAAGTGGGAACGTTGAAAACGGGAACTTCGCAGGATTTTCATGTCAGACTGGTTGAAAACGGGAACCTCCTCAGGACTTCCTACAAAGCGCTGCGGAACTTCCAAAAAATGCCAGCTGTTCTGCACATTTTGACATGCCAGTACTTCCATAGGGTTTTGAATGCGTTGTCTACTATGATATTGCCTCGCCAACAACTGGAGTGCATTATCGAACATGTCAGCCTCACTGCAGAGGTTAGCAGGTGAGTCTCACAGTCAATAGAGTAAGGTAAAAATCTCGCTCAGGTGTTCTCTTTTGCTGTTGTGGTTCGCACACCTCATTTGTTAACCTCCGCAGCACTTTTACGGAACTTCCGCAGGTGACTCGGCGGATCTTTCCCAAACGTTTTGCGGAAGTTCCGGACAGTCGTCTGAGTGATTCCTAGGGTTTGGGATGTAGATTAAAGTTACTAAAAAGTATGAAAAGTTATGTGTAAGAAATTTACTTTGTTTTCTCTGAGCCCTCGAAGGCTCTCCGTGTGGCTCAAAATAACTCGAAAAAAATGTTTTCTACGTTTCCAATTAGGATAAATTTTTTACAATTTTCTTGGTTCCTACTGTCCGCTGTGCATCTACACACCAAAGTGGTTGCCATTCATTTCCTCTTTGCTATGCACAAGCCTTTTCTTCATCCCTAGGCACATTTTTTGAATTTGCGCTTGCACGGAGAAGGAGCCAGAAACTGTTGCTTTGCAGAATATGGGTTCGATAGAGCAGTGATGAGCGCTTGCGATGCGTTTAGATCAAGTGGAAGCTGGAATAGAACAGGGAGGAAGAAATGAGTGGGGTGGGGGGGGGGGGGAGGGGGGGGGGGAGGGGTGGTGCTGGTAAAAGTCGGGAGCATGTATATGTAGTGTGACTCGCGTGGTAATAGCGATGTATTGTTTGCATGGGAGTAGGCTGTAAAAATTGTTGGGTAGATGCGAGGAGTTGAACAACTCTTGGTTAGATTTCATATGAAAATACAATTTTAGTCGCTTGTATGATCAAAAGCCTTTTAAAAATTTCTAACCGCTCTCGAGACTCCGAGTATGCATGAAGAATTGAAGATTTTTCCATGTGACACCTTACCAAGCTGTTGCATGCATTTTCCAGGGCTACGTCCCAGACCTCGCGCGAAAACGATAACCCCTTCGTCCCCCCACCCCCTCCCCTTCGAAACGATGTTCACCTTGCTCAGTAAGCCACCTGTGCCGAGCCCGGGCCTTTAGACTCATTCACATATAATAATGTCTGCTACGCATGCTTGAGCATCATAGTCTGTCAAACTCTTGTGTGCCAGCCGAAATATAATTTTAGCATAAAATGTGTGGGAATTGTGTCGGCGATATAATACAATTACAGAATGTAGTTAAAGAGAACCACTCGCAGACCTTTTAACTGGAACATATTATACACTCGGCGGGAGCACGCGAGTTGAGGAATGTCACGCGCGCAAGAATGACTCATTTTATGCACAACATAATATAACGAGGTTCTGTCACTCTGCTCAAAGTTCAGTGTAATTTGGATTCCACTCAAAAGGACAATAATCGGGGTTATTGGGAGGTTCCGTCGGAAATCCACGATTCGTCATTCGACAGCGGAACTCGTGAAGGCGAGGCCATGCTGCATCAGCCGAAAAGGTTGCACTAGGATCTGACCAAAGCCGTTCTGCCACAGCCGAAGCTCGAGGCCTGTAACATTCAAACCCAAATGCACAAGTCTTTCAGATGATTTTTGTTGATATCACCACCGACAAATTAGATTGCCTTAATTTTCTCTTCGCAAAGAGTTGATAAGAATACCAAAACAAATGTCAGTTATTACTTTCTTATGACATTGACCCAAATAGAAGGATTTAAACATGCTCAGTTCTTTTTGATTTGAATTTTATCAAACTGAAACTTGTGAAGCTTTTGCAGCAGTTACTGGCGAGAGACTCATAGACCCATAGACGAGAGACTTATAATACCACTAGCTGGCTTATCCGATTCCGCCCGGCCCTGTCAAAACACTGTGACAAAAATCCTTTCACTACTCCTGTACAACCTTCCCTGTGCACTTCTACATGCCAATTCCCTATCTCCTGCGTAATAATCAGCATGATCTTTTACCCCCCCCCCCGTGTCAACTCCCAGCCTCATAGCTCGAACTTTACAAAAAATCGCTAAAGATCGGTAGCGATTGATAAGGAAAAGCAGCATACGACATCAGCCCCGCCCCGAAGTGTATGTGTGCCAAGTTTGGTCCGGATCGGTTTGGAGATAAAATTTCAACGTAACGTAGGAACTCTCAGAAAAACTGTGCTGTTGCACAAAAGTCCCTGGTTCTTCTGTCAACGAAACCAGGTTAGCCTTGCTCTTTTCTCCTCTAGAGTAGGGAACCTCAAAGTACCTTTCAGCGTGTTTTTTAAGCCTAGGAATTGTTAGAAAAAGTGTCCTGTCGCATAAAGTCCCTGGTCTTTCTGCTGACAAGACTAAATTCGCCCTGCTCTTTTCCTTGAAGAAAAGTAGAACGTTTCTAGAGTGGAAGAACCGAAAGTAACTCTCGCCAAATTTTTATCACTTTAAGTGTGGAACCCAGAATGTTCTGATAAAGTGCTTTACTCATGAAGTTCCTGGTTTTCTGCCAGCGAAATCATGTTTGTGTTGCCCCCTTTTTGCAGGTAAAAATAGGATGTTTTTAGAGTAGAGAATGTCAGAAATATCTTTTACTAAACTCTTTTGAAATCTATCTGTGAAGCGAAATGTCCTGTCGCATAAAGTCTCTGGTCTATCCTGCCATCACTTTGCCCTGCTCTTTCTCTTTTGGAGGCAAAAGTAAGATGTTTTTAGAGCAGAAAATCTCAAAAGTATCTTTCGGCGAAGTTTTTTGAAATTTGTCTGTGTAGCTCATAAATACTTAGAAAAAATGTCTTCTGCATAAAGCCCTTGATCTGCCAGCGAGACCAAGTCTGACCTGCTCTTTTTTCTTTTGGTGTCAAAAGTAAGATATTTTTAGAGTAGAGAGCGTCGAAAGTATCTTTTAACAAAGTTTTTTGAGCTTAGGAGTTGTTGAAAAAAAGTGTCTTGCCGCTTGTCTTATAAAGTCACTGGTATTTTTTGCACCATGAAAAAGTTCGCCCTGCTCTTTGCTCTTTCAGAAGCAAAAGAAGGGTGATTTCATAGTCGGCAGCCTCAAAAGTATCATTCGGCAAAGTTTGTTGAGCTCAAGAATTGTTGAAAAAGGTGTTGTGTCGCACAGAGTCTCTGGTTTTTTCTGCCAGCAAGACAAAGTTGGCCCTAGGGAAGCTGCTCCTTTTTCCTTTGACACATTGACGACCGAAGCCTTTCTCGGACCAGCCAACATTCTCCAAATAAAATCACGCACAGTTCATCTACAGTACACCTACAATAGCGCTGGAATGCTGGCAAAAACAGTAGAGGTTGTATCTAAGTCCAGTGTGAAAGAAAACACCCGGAGTTGGTTTGACACATTTTAGTAGCTATTTCAATGAGAGTCATGGTATGTCAAGCCTTGACACACCATGTGTGTCAAGCGGTCGTCAATGTGTTAAAGGCAAAAGTAGGATGTTTCTACGTGGGAGAACCCGAAAGTGACTCTCGCCTGTTGTTAGAGTAAAAAATCTTAGGCGATCTTTCACAAACGTTTTTTGTTATTTGTTCTCCTCCTTCCTTTTTGGTGTGAAATGTAGGAAAATGGGATTCTACCAGCGGATGCTAAACGTAGATTTCCCATTAGGTGTCGTAGAAAATTTTTGAGAAAAAGATGTTTTTGTGAAATTGTTCTACCCTGAGAGAGTTCGTGTTTTTTATCCAAACAGTAATCTTCTTCAAAGTACAGACATTGACGGCAAAAATAGCCCCGAAAGTAAATATCTTGGCAGAAAAGTGAGAATTTTATAGGAAGCGGTGTTCATGGGCAAAAATTCCTCACAGTCCTCTATTTTCTTCCCACGACAGCAAGATCCGCTCATCGTTTTAAGATATTCCTCGAGAATATAACCTTCTGCCAAAAGCTCCTCTTCTTTCTCCCTCCAGCAAAACCAGTCTCGCTTACTGCTCTTCTTTTTGTCAGTAGAGTTTTTTTATATTCAGAGAACTCTCAAAAGAGATTCATCGTCAAATAAGATAAAAATGAATGGAAACGTTCTGTGCGGGACAATCTTTTCGTAGAAGCGCGTGAACTTTTTCGTAGAAAAAAGCCAGAACATGCTCATTGCTTTTTGTTTAGAGTCGGAAATAGGATTTTTAACACTTGCTCGCAAATTTTTTTCGCCAGATCAAGTGGAAATTTCCTAAGAAACGAAGATGATCTTTGCAAAAAATACCCTTCTGGTAAAAGCGGCTAACCTTTTTTTCTATAAAACAGTGCGTCTTTAAAAATATCTCTTTGCCAAACGCTTTTTCCTCCTGTAGAGCCAAAGCTCGCTCACGGCTTTTCTGCTTAAGGGCAGAAGAGAGAATTTCTTAAGCACATGATCCCGAAGGTTGATTTTTTTCCAAGTAGGGCGAGAGTGCCTTTTGCAACAAAAATTTTTGCGAAATTTCTTTTTGCAAAAAGTTCGATTGTTTCCCCGAGGTGACCAAAGTCCGCTCGTTGCTCTCCTTTGAGACAAAGGCGAAGTTTTGAGCACAGGTCTTAGGGTCAAATTTTTCACCGAATTCTGTAGAAATTCTCTATGAAACAGAGGTATTCTTTGCAAAAATGGCTTTTCGCTGGAAGCCCCTGAGCTCTTTTGACCCTCGAGGCCGACGCTTGTTCATTAGGGCCGGAAGTACGGTCTTTGAACCGATGCTCCCAAGATAAAATCTTTTGTCAGATTGAGTGCAATTGTTAAGAAAAATTGACATTGCTTGCTGAATGTTTTATTACTAAAAGGCACTGAGGTTTTTTTTCATAACAAACACAGGTAATCTTTGCGAAAGAATTTTTGGAAAACCCTTGAATGTTCTCCCAAAGAGACCAAGACCAGGGCCCAGCACGGGTCGTCGGGAAGCAGGCTGGACTTCGTTTTCGGAGCAAAATGCAAAGGAGATATCGTTTTTGACGAGTCGGGGCCAAGTCCCAAGAATACGCGCCATTTAGTCAAACGAAAGCTTCTCGAACAGGTTATTACACGATTGACATGCTCTATCGTGTATGGGGAAAAGTGCGCGCGATTTGAAAGCAAGGCTTAAACAAACAAATTGCTTGTTTACAGCGCATACAGAATCATAAGACGCCAAAATTGAGCTGTATGTATAAAAAATTATTTGCAAAAGAAATATGCAGAAGATTTGGAAACTTATGTGAAGTATTAGCTTTTCCAAAATTAGTCCGTCCCCAGACGGTCACCAGACGATCTGAGATTGTCTGGAGCATATATTTTCGTCAATTCACATAAGTTTCGGATCTTTTTAGCATGAACGGATTCCCCGCTTTGTTAAATATCGCGCTTTAATGCCAAACTCCTATGCTTGCGTAGTAATCAGCTCCAATTTGGGTCACTCTTATCTCACGTTTTTTGTTCCAGACTAGTAAATCTTTCTTGTTTCCATCTTCTCCTAAATAATTAGATCAAAGTGGACTTCGTAAAACCTTCAAAAGTCAGGGGGAGACTTCGTTTCAGGAACCCTAAAAACCGACTCGTGCCGGGTCCTGACCAAGGCTCGCTCATTGCTCTTCTTTGTAGGGGAAGAAGTAGAACCGCGGCGTCAAAGCTTGCTTAGGGCTTTTGTGTTTAGGAAAAAAGTAAGGTTTTCGAACACATGCTCCTAGGATTGAATTTCACGCCAAACCAAGAAATTTATGAGATGAAAATATTCTTTGCGAACTATCTTTTTGCTAAAAGCTGCCGAAGTATTTTTCTAGAAAACAAAGTTATTCATTGCGAAAATCTTATCGCAAAAACAATCCGAATGTTTTCCCAAAGGAACCAAGCTCGCGCAGTGCTCTTTTCTTTAGAAAACGAGATAGTTTTTTTAGAGCATATGCTCTAAAAAGTGGATATTATCCCAGTTTGGAAATTTCGAGGGTACTTCTCTCCAAAACATCTTTCTGCTAAAGGCATAATCCTTTCAAGGCTCGTTCACTCTACTCTTTTTGAGGGCAAAAGTAGAACTTATTCACAGTAAATGCTTCCAAAAGACGACTTTTGCCGGGAATAAAATTTTTTTGAAATAGTTGTATTCTTTGCGATAATATCTTTTCGCTAGGAATCCTGAGCTTTTTCCCTCAAAACTAAATCGCTCCTGCTTTTCAAAGGGCGGTTTTTCCAGGGTACAAGCTAGTAAAATCGGATTTTTCACGGTTCAGTGAAATCTACGAAATGGAGCTATCTTTTGCGAAAATGGCCTTCTACCAACAGTTCCTGAGCGTTTCCCTCCCGCGAGACCAGACTTGTCGTTTGTTAAAAATAAACAAGCGTAGTCTACAAAAAGAAAGTATTCTTCAATTGAAACGTTAGGCGGGACAGTTAGCAACCGTAATCGTGTTCTTTGCAAAGTGAAAAAGTTCATAAACACATAACAGTTTCATGACAAATGGTTAAAACTTCACTTTGTCCTAAGTGGAGTGAATTTTTTTCAAACGATCCCTTATACAGTGCTGGCCAAAATTATAGATCCTGAAAATTGCCGTAGCTCATCTGCTTCTCAACGAATTGATCTGAAATTTGATATAGCTGTGTGTTTGACAGGCTATCGTCAGTAACAAGAACGGATCCCGCTTTCGTTTGATTATTCAGAAAAAAATTAAAAAATCAGAAAAAAAAGCAGGTTCGGCCAAAACTATAGATCCACCTGAGGTTTCTGTCCACGAAAGTAGTTCTCGGCTTCCACAACCTTTGGTGCATATACATAATCAAAAGTCAAGGCAGCCGACTTAGTTCAGCTGTGTCATATCTTTATAAGGAACGCTTATCTGCTTTTTTTCACTCGAAAATACTTTCACGCGTATTTTATTACCGAGTAGTGTATTTATGGGTGAATCCGCAGTTTTTAAAATGGTTTGGGGGCAATAGGGCTTCACCTATCTTACGGATGCTTAGCGAAGTGAGCAATAGGAAAAAAATTGACCTTTCGTATTCAAAGCGCACCCGACATAGACCTAAATGCAAGTCTGAGCTCAAATCTACGCCTTCAAGAACTTTTCTGCAATGTTCTCATAAGCGTGAAATGAAGTAATGACATTGTTTGTACATATGAGGGTCCGTATGCAGTGGCTGCAGATTTTTGCATGTCCTAGCATGCAGGCTAATTGAGGAATTCGTCCTGCAAAAACTGATTAGCAACAAGCCCTGAAGTTATCTTTGGTTCTGACCATAATGCTCGTGTGAGTCAGAAGGCAACATAATACAGGGTGTTTTCATTATTTAGCAGCTTAATAGTGGCAAAAAATTAGGAAAGGCACCACTTGATAAATATTGGGTTGTTTCAAAAGTTCTACCCGTTTTCGATACCTTTTTTAAACTGCCGATTTTGGAGGAAGAAACCATTCTTTCATAAAATGTCTATATCATTCAAAAGCTCTTTTCTTCTAGTTTTTCAAGCATTTTTTCGTTTTCATAGATCTTGTTCGCTGTGTGGTTGCGTACTTTGAAAAGACAGCGAAACAAATGTGGAAATTTTCGTCTTTGCTCTATCGCCGTGAAATCTACAGCCAAAAAATCAAAATTTTTTTTAAAACACACATATTGTTTGCTGGAGATTTGTGCTACGAAACGCTCATCGAGATATGATTTTAGGAAAATTTTGAACCTACAAATTTCTAGCTCAAACATAACCTTGCTATGTGGTCCCTTCAAGTCGCATAAAAATCATAAACATATTGCAATCGCGGAACTTTTACTCTATATAGTAAGATTAGAGCTAGAACAACTGCTACTAGAAGAATGAAAAGATTTCCTGGTTTGTCCGCGGCGAACAAAACCAAAAATGTCAAAAAATTGCATTCTTTGCCGCCTCAGAAAAAGCAAAATAAGTGGGTCCTTTTGGATTTTTCAGCACAAAATTTTTATAAAAAAAATTCATAAAATCCAAAAATAGCGGTCCTGCTCAGTCGACTATGGGATACACTGTGAGCAGTGCTTGTGCAACTCAGCTATATTCCGAATCAAGTTATGCAAGAGCAAAGTGAAGGTTTCTACAAGGAGATGTCCCTCGATTTTTGCCTATAAAATCTTCTCTACTGTCACTGCAATAATCTTGAAGAGTGCGCAGAATAGCCAAAGGTTTGCAGATTGTAATACAGTTTATAGCAATTGCAAAGATTATTTCTGGGAAGAGTTACGGTGAATCAAATTCAAAGTTCGAAAACGGTTAGAACTTTTGAAACAATCCAATATTTTGCGATTGCTTTATATTATCATTGAACCGCGAAAATTATGCCTTGTTTATGAAGCAAAGTGCGATTTCGCGAACAATCGTGAGTACAGTCTGTAATCTTCTTTTTATGTAAATAATGCCACATTATTTAAAACTTACAAAAATAGCGTAAACCCAGTTTTGAAGGCAAAAATTTAAGCGCAGGCTTGCTGTGAGGTCTACATTGGCTGCGCTTTGGATACGAAAACTCAAATTTTCTCTAATGCTCACTTCGCTAAGCGTCTATAAGACAGATGGAGTCCTATCGCTTCCAAACCAGTTGGAAAAACTGCGGAAACACCCCTAGAAACACATTTAAAAATGAAAGTAAAAAAATGAAAGTATTTTTGAGTGAGAAAAAGCAAATAAGAGTTTCTAATAAAAATATAACACAGCTGAACTAAATCGGCTGTCTTGACTTTTGATTATGTATTGCACCAAAGATTGTGGAGGCCGAGAATTACTTTACTGGACAGAAACTTGAGTGGATCTATAATTTTGGCCAGCTTTCAAGCCTGCCTTATTCAAAAATTTTGATTTTTTCATGAACCATCAAACGAAAGCGGAGATCGATCCTGGTTACTGATAGTATCCTGTTAAACACACAGCTGTACCAAATTTCAGATCAATTTGTTGAGGAGCAGATGAGCTACGGCAACTTTCAAGTTGGATTTATAGTTTTGGCCAGTACTGTATGTGATCAAGGGTAAGAGCGGAAACCAACATATGACATTTTCTCCATCAAACGTCTTGCAAAATAATCAGAGATAGGAATGCGAACAACTGATATGAGTTCCATAGCCTTCTTTTTAATGAGCAATGTTCATGTTGATTGACAAATGAATATTTCTGAAAGGAATGCAAAAAATAATCAGTTTTGTTGTTTTCATTGCACTGTTTGCTCAAATCATAACTTTTTATAGAGCGCTTGAACTACATACTTGAATCAATCCAAAACATTTTGAAGAAAACTTTATAAAAATCGTAATCCTTGGCCTTGTCATTGCAATTTTTAGATTTTAGTAATGGAACGTTTCGGAAAACAAAATACAATCACTACTTCCTTTGAAGAATGAGGCACAAAGCCGCTATGACTTCTCTTGTAAATGGAATTCAAGCCAGAAAAAAACTGAATAGACCGATAGCTGGAGTGATCCCGTACACAACCATTTCCGTACCACGACATGTTGCTATTTCAAAACATAACAAGTGCAGCAACAAAGTCGGTAAAGGTAGCCAATAGGTAACCGATAGTTCTGAAAGTTAATATTTTTGTAATCAGCATGCACAGATACACCATGTGCCAATTTTTGGCCGCTTACAGGGGAGGTCCGATTAGTCGAATTGGCCCTTCCAAATGAGTCTTATACCACTTTGAAGAGCATCAAACGGTAATTCCAAATCTGCTATCACTATCTGCCGAACGCCTCTGCACGCCGAGTTATGAGTATTTTTGGTGCGAAAAATGGACGCATAATATACGTAAAATCAAATTTTACGATCATTTCAGCGCTCAAACAGAGCTCTCGCCAAAAAAAGCTATTTCCAGCCATTTTTTTTTGTGTGCTAAATGGCTTTTGGGATGAGATATAGAAGAATGGTGGTTTCAAGTGCTTTTCTTCCTTTTCTCAGACTTCTTTTTTTTTCTCCTTTCACCCTTCCCATTGTATCTCTCCCCCCCCCCCCCCAGTCTTCTTCTTTTCCCTATTACTGGTTTTAAGGGTTTTTTATACTTGTTACGTGCTGTCGTAGTAGTATAATGTTGACTTCTTAAGTGGTGTGATTCTATTTAGCAGTTTCCTCGCAATTATGTTATGGCTTACTTTTCTCATAGAAGAATTCATGAGTATGCAGTTTTGTAGTTTCTGTGTTTTTTCCAACGCTTGCTAGCCATTTCTTTGCGGTACTCTTTCACTGCCACAAATTCGGTATTTGATTTTAGGGATATCGATCGGGCAGACCCTGGTGGGGATCCCTTCCCCTCCCCTTCCCGTATGCACAAATGTGGCTCAACAGCGCGATGGAGGGGATCGACATCCCTTACGACGACTTTATAAGCTGCCTTGAAAAACCCTAGAAAATGGCAGATTTGCCTAATTCTGAGTAGTGATCCCCTGAGGAGTGATCCCTTCCCCAGCATTTCCCTCGTGCATAGCAGGGATGGCCGCTGGGGATCATTCCCTTGGAGAAATGGACGGCATGTCACTAATAGCTACAGCTTCCATGAAAAGCTAGCACGATTTGCAATTTCTTTTATGTGTGGAAATTCCAGTTTGAATGCTTGCGGCACCCTCCCCCCCCCCAGGCACCATAACATATTCTACTCATTCACTGTAGAGACATCATAACTTCTAATTTTGGACACTTTTACGCTGAAATGTGCAGCATTAGCGAAAGTGAGCAACATGTTGAAAACAGCAAAAATATATTGTGCGTGGAATTTTTTTGGTGCATCTGGCGCAATCACGGGCGATGGCATTCCGCAACGACTAAAATATTGCCGATGACATGGTGGAGGCGAGTAGCTACCAAAAGATGAGAAAAGAGGAGTGGTTACCACAAAAAGCGGAAGCGAAATGATTTCCCCGCTCGATTCCCCCTTCTGTATAAGGGGTTCCCTTCCCCTGCTTCCAGGGGATCCCCCCCCCCGGTATTGCCTTTGTGCATACGGGTTCGCGTGGGGAAGGGAGGAGAGCCCCAGCTAGGATTATTTCAATGGTTAAACGCACATCCCCTCCCCGCGGGGATGTACGTGCATGCGGGCCTAATAAACCATTGGAGCATTTGAGCAATTCTGACGATTTTTTCTAATCAACATTGGGTTTTTTTACTAAGTAAACGCTTATAACTTGGCGTTCAGAGGCGCTCGGCAAATTTAGAAGATAGATAGAATCAGCTCCGATGCTTTTTACAGTCGTATCAGTTTTATGTGAAAAGGCCACTTCGACCAAACGGACTTTCCTTGTTAGCTAAAAGTTGAAAAATATCCGCTCCGCCGCAGGACCCATAGTGCGAGCAAATCTCTCGCCGACATAATGTCTGCTGGCCTCTTCTCTCGTCATCACTGAACGCTGTTATATTTTCATATTCGTTTTTCTGGAATTCGCCGCAAGCTGGACCCTCCTTCATTCATATGGTTAAGGATAGGAGGGACGCAGAAAACTCTGCCGTAGCGCTTGAGAGGATCCAATGTATATTATAGTAAGGATATCACAAAATGAAATGCTGCGGTACAAAGCTTACCAAAGACGTTGTATGAGATTCGTGGCGTCCACAAATTCTCCCCACATTGCGGCTTCTCCTCCAAGTACAAGCGCCTGAACAGATGTGTTAAGTAGTAGAGAAGGACCGTTTGCATTGTTACATACTGAAATATAATCATCGGCCAGGCTAGAAATCCTGAAGCCCTCTTGTCATTTGCCATAATTTTTTTTTGCTGTATGTTGTTTCAAGAAGTATTCAGATCAATGCTTTACACATTGCTTGATCGGTTTGAATCGGAAAGCCATAACACGAAATTCTACGAGTGTTATTTGCCAGACCAAGCCCTCTTTAGTGGTTGCTTAAATAACCCATGAGCATTGGCTCATACATCACTCATTTCGATAGCCATTAAATCGGAAAAGCAGTAGTTTATGGGCTCAAATCATTGTGTTTATTTTCTGATGTTTGGATTATAACTCGTTTTAGATGTTGCGTGGTATTAGCGAAAATGCTGTTTTTGTTCCTTACCAAACTAATGACTTTTCCCCGCAATCTAAGATTGAAGATTTGACAACGAACCAAAACAAAAGCTCTGTTCTTGCTTCTCCTCCCCTTAGATGTAAGACTTGCCTACGTGCCCTTTCCGGTTTTTTTAGCAAAATGAAAGGCCTGATAATTACAGTAGAAATTATAATTTTCTATCATGGTGGGTTCGCCTACTCATATAAAGATAAGACTTCAAAAGATCTTTTGTTGTTTCGTACAGTAAGTAAGGCGATATTGTTGGTAAATTCATTTACTTTGCCAGAACTTTGTTCGTATATGCTCAACTTCACGTTTAGCTCTCCTATAAATGAAGGATAGTGCGAGATTTTTTGTGCTCTAAAGCCAATGCACAAAAAGGTTTCGCGTGAAATGTTTTATAACAGAAAATTCTGCTGTTTAGTTTTTCGATGCTGTGTTGTGTCCATTTCTACTCATCTGTTGATCACTCTACCTTTTGAGCCGCCGTTCCTTGAAAGTTGGTAGGATCACATTCATAGTAGAGCCCGCGAAGGCGCATATTGCTGTTGTCAACATATCCCCAATCAGCACCATACTTTATGTAGTTCAAGTACCTAAAGTAATAATTTGCTGGAGCAGCCCGTGTAGTTTACATTAATACCAAATTATTGATGCAGGTTAACACTCAATGAAATGGAACATACAGCAAATTTTGATTTGATTGAGTCGCGCAAGGCCGATACCCTGCCGATACTCAAGCGCCATGTTGAAAGCAGTGCGAAAAATGATATACATTACGACATTTTTCTAAACGGTGCCCTACTCTTTGAACTCTAATTGAGCGATATGCATAGTGAAGACTTACTCAACGCTACGTATGGACCAGCCCATGTCAGTGAAGTCAAAACCCTTAGTTAAGATTGTTTTTATGCGAATTATCAGCCGAGATTGGCACAATTGCTTTTAAATCAATGATACGTTTTTGCACGCAAGTGCATCCAACCGATCTTCCAGGCTTTGCTGCGACAAAAACTCAAAAGATATAGTTTTTGTTTCAAGGATTTCATTCCTTTTTTAGATCCATATTTGCTGAACAAAGATTTGAACTGACCAACAACTGGAGAGAATTGCTCTATGTCCATTTGCAGTAACCGAAGCCATCTCGTTCATAATCTCGTCTATGCTACCGCCCTTCCAAACATGAGCAATGGAAGTATTTGCCTGCAAGTTTCTTTTAGAAATAGTTCTTTTTGGGTTTGCGATTTACCGGCACGCTCATATCCAAGACTTCTTGCCACACGACTTTAGCGGTGCCAATGCGTGCTTTGTCTATTATAGAGAATAGCCTACAAAAAAGGTTATATCTATAAATTTCAACTCACGACTGTTATCAAATGTTCTGACAAAACCATATAAGGCCGCTGTTAGGAGATAGTGTTTGAAAAATCAAGACGTTAAGTGAAGGCAACGTGAAATAGTTTTGATTTATGATAAAGATTTGTGAGCAAAGCTCAGAGGGAGTCTTTCTTTGATTGATGGTAATTCGGCTCCGGGTTTTCCATTTCGATAAATGAAAGTCAGTTCTATCAGCTCGAGTTTGGAACAATGTCTCAAGTATAATCCTTCATCTCTTCCGTTTTAAGTTTTTTGTTACATGGTCATAATTTTGTCTAATTTCAAATGGATGAAACTTGTGAAAGAGCTGCCTACCAATGCTCAAACTTTAAGAAAAAGGTTTGCAACATCAGCTGCTCGGTCTAGTCGTTATTTACAGACTGGCGATCATTCTCCCAGAGGAACTCTAAAAACAATAACAAACTTTTTCCAGTAGTAATCGAGCAGTTGGCTTGTGCTTGAGAAGCCCATTGCTTTCATTCGTTTGGTAACTTCGGCATTATTTGCCCTATAAACACTTGAACACTTATAAGATCTTTTCATGCCAGAAGCGAAGGTCTGCTCCAACTAACCAGCATTGCTGCATATCGCTAGCAACCTCGTCTCCACCAAAATGCATGTAGTTATCTTTAAAAAGCGTTAGTGCCTCCTATAGATGTAGAGTGGAATTTTCACAATTTTTTTGCTGCGGCTCACAAGGCAATGTTGACTCACAGTGAAGAAGCTGGCTAAAAAGTTGTAGGTGTCATCTAGGGTAGGATCCAAAATATTGGATAGTTCGCTGATGAAGCCTTGTGAATTATAGCATGTAGGTAAAAGATGTGGCATTGCCTTCCCCCATGCTCCGAAATGACCTTAACACAAATTAAAATTCTTATTTCAGTCAATGTTTCGACTCCAAGCTTTTCAGATTTAGCACAAACAGCACCTGGAGTGTCGAATTCTGGAATCACTCGTATTCCCCTTAAACGAGCGTAATCCAACACTTTTCGAATATCATCGGTCGAGTAGATGTGGGCAGGCGTGTAAGCTCCCTATAGCGCAAAGTTACTTTCAGCGAACTAAGTTGGCTGAATGTTGAGAGTTACCAGTTGGGAGAGATTCGCGAACACCACAGACGTGTAAGGGAAAGACTCGCTGTCAACTAAGTGCCAGTGCAACACATTCATCTTATTTTGTGCCATGAGATCCTAAGAAAGAACCACATTAGTTGTTGAGGTATCGTTCTAACTTGATGCTTGCCAAGTTCTGTAGAAGAGCACCAACGGGAAGAAAGTGTCTTGCAGAGTCAATCATCACGCCTCTGTGAGGAAAACGAGGAGAGTCGGCTACGGTAGCGGCCCGAACTCGATACTGTAACGCGCATATAAGTATTGCCACTTATGCAGAAGGTGGAGGACTATATGCACTCGAAAGTGGGAGGATCCCTCGCGGACATTACAGCAGATACTCAGCCTACGTATGATGTGTAGGGATGTGTACTGGTTGCAGATGTCCGGCGAGCCTCCCACTTTCGGCGACATATAGTCCCCTACCCCTCATGCAGACACTCACCTGATTTTTCTTAGGTTGGAATACAAGCTGACTAAATGTCTCCAATCCCCTAAGAGCGCCCCATACTTCGTTTGCAGTCAGAGTTGCTATTCCCTTCGATCTATCGACGTTGATGTTGTCTGAGATGTAAATAGTTTTACAAATACATTATGAAGTTCTAGTGTGTACTGTATTACAGCTCTCATCCATATCGAACTGTGGATAACCCGAAGTGCAGCCTTTTGCGACACTTATTGAGAGAGTAGTCAACGTTGCTGGCGAATCATTGTACGAAGACTGAAAGTATAAAGATGTTGAAAACTTCCAATAACATTTCCTCAGGCTTTGAATGCGCTAGTAAGTTGTTTCGTTACAAAGTTAAATACGCGGTGATGGAAAGTGCTCTTCCACCAATTTGCCTCCAAATAAGGGAGAAAAAATAAACAGTTTCTTTTTGTTGTGTAAGCGAGATTTTGAACAAGTTATGATAAGTCTCATGCGGGTGGATACCCTTTCACCCATTTAGAGACAGCGTCCAGGTAAATCTGAATGTATGGGAATTTTGCGTGAGAATATTTTTGGAGTCCTAACTAAGGCATGACCCGAGAGCAACGCAAATGACTCACTAACGGCTGACATGTATGCCTTAAAAATGGACCACAGGATCGTGTTATGGACGACTTGCATCGTGTTTGCATGCTTTCGCGCGAGGACTCACCTGAAACTTTGTGTCGCGCCATGAATCCATGCGGAATACGATCCTGAGGTCCAGTTTGGAGGCGAATATCTTAGCAGTTAGAACACCATTCGAGCTGCCGGTTGGGCAGTGTCATAGTTAGGTCCCTAAGTTACTGTCCACGTGAGATCCCACATGTCCAGATTTGCCGGGACGCTGCCTTTAACGTTATGTTAAAAACAACGAGGGGGGGGGGAGGAGAGGTAAGAGCCATTGATGATGAGAGGGTTGAGCAAGAGGTCAGGCACAAGTCCTTCAAAACCGACCCCCCCCCCCCTGTGAAAGCCCCTAAACGACCCTCCGCTTCAACTCCAAGTCCTAAAGGTGTTATATTTTGAAGAAGACCAGCCTTCACTGCAAGTTTCTATTTTTTGCAAGTCTGTAGGCCCGACTTTCTGCGATTGCACGACCACACGTAACTTGACGGCAAGTTTTAGATCTGGAAAGTCCTCTTTTCAGAGCTATAATTTTTACAGGAATGGATTGTTGGGCTTCAAATTTTCAATATAGCAAGAAGAGGCTTTGCTCTCAATTCTCATATCAAAAAAGGGGCGATTTTTGAATGTTGAAGGCAAGTTAAGAGGGACAGGCGCAACCTCTCAAAAGCTCAGGCGGCCTGAGCTTTTGAGGGGTTGCGCCTGACCCCATTAACTTTATTTCCGAAAAAGCTTTTTTATCCAAGTTTTATGTGATTCGCTAGCTCAATCCTCAAAGATCCCACAGTAAGTGTTTGAGCTTGATTCAACTTGTTTCTGCCTTGTGTTAATCCGAGAAGCTGAAGCACACGTGAAAAACGCGCCGGTTAAAATTTTGGCAGCACTTCTTACTTCACTGTCTGAAAGCGATATGAGATTTGTAGCATAGACTTGTAGAGAACATTACTTTGTTATGAGTATACAAAAGCTGACTTTTCTCACTTCCGAAACCAAGTTGATCACGTTTGAAAATCACGCCTTTTACACGTTGAGAAAAACTAGAAACTTCAGTAGGTAATGGTTTATAGAGCGCATAGAGGTAATTTGACATGCTGATTATGGAAATGATACCCATTTTACATAGCAAGCTTCCTTTTTACCTCATATGTCAAGGTAAAAGAGAAGAAGATTTGAATTTTGGCTGAAACTTCCATTGTGGAAACAATCAGTATGCTGTTTATGACCGTCATTCCTTCATGTGATCGCGATATCCACCGGACTAGCGCATTTCTTCTTCACCTTCGCAGTATCTCCTCAACTTAACAAATTCGACTCTTAATTACGACCCCCCCTCTCACTCTTACCCTCAATACGATCCCCCAGGTCGGGCGCGCTTGACCCCACGCTCAACCTTGATGATGAGCCGTAGCGCCGCTTGATCGCGGTTTTTTTCTTTTTCGAATTTTCCACTTATGGTTCAAATTTAGTCAATGTAAAGTATATAATTCCTTTTTAATGTGTCTTTTTATTGCTAAATAGTAACGTAGAGATTGATTGAACAAGGAAAATTGAACTATGAGCTCGCAAAGAATAAAAAATCTTTTCTCCTCTGTGATTTGATACAATCACTGGTGTAGCAGCATAAAATATAACAGCAATGGATGGAAATGTCCGAAAATCTTTTTTCTCTTCCTGGCAGCCATGTTATCAAGCTGAGTTTTCTGCTGCTCGTAGATCTAAGCATTCAACCCATTTCTTTTCTGTAGCTTCAGCTAATCGTCATGATTCTCATTTTGAAGCCTTGTGGAACATACGATCACTGGAAATAAATGACTATTCTTAATACAAATATCCTACAGATTTTCAAATCTGATCCGTTACGGTTTTTTAAATGATTTAAACGCACTCCTTTTTTTTCAAAAATTGCGCAAAACAAAAACGCAACAAACTACGGACTATTGCAAAGAATTGAAGGGTTCGAAAAGTAATCAAGCGTTAATCACCTTAGAGACATGATTTGAAAATTTTAGACACAGCTATGCGAATTGTAAGATTTGGAAGTAAAACCTTTTTGCTCACATCTTCAGCGAATATTCCAGTAGTCAAGGAAAAATTCAGATGTAAATTGTAGCTGCTAAAAAGAAAGAGAAAACTGCATTGGGTAGCACTTGTCTGTCGTAATATTGTCTGATTTGTAGATATTTCTAAGAAGAAAAGGTGACCTTCTTACTATTTTGGCTCACCTCAGTATTTAGTGTGATGCACTGCCCCTCTAACGAGGGGAGGATACTTGGTGACCGTGAAATTTTGCAATGAGATGTATACCAGTAGGTGCGTCTTGGAACGCTGATTCTAAATCTATGTTCATTACCTGCTGTGCGACTCCCTGAACGAAGTTATGGACTTTTTTCCATATTGATTTTGCGAGATTTAGGCAGTCGAAATCGTCACTATCCCAGCTTTTAGACTCTGATGTATCGGTGACAGTTTTCCTGAGCTTAACGTGAAGGTTTACTTTATCTGTACGCTCTTTGGTAGTGCGTAAGCGAACATTCCAACGATATTGGTGAATCTTACATCAAAAACAGTGCAAATTTTGGTGAAAAGAAAGGTTCATAACTTCTTTCGGAAGAGCGCACAGCAGATAATGAAAACAGATTTGGAATCAGCGCTTCAAGATGCATTTAATGGTGTACGTTTCATTTCAAAAGGCCACGGTCACCAAGTATCCTTTCCTGTAAGGCAAGTTCAATTCAATCTACTGTCAAAGTATTTTTGAATAAATTCTACATAATCGGCAAGGCAGAATTAGTTCTAGCATCTTACAAAAAAATAGCCTTAAAAATTTTTGTATTCATCCGACTGGATGATCAATCAGAGTGTATACCATTATCAGGTCGTACTCGATATCCTTATCATGACTTATAATAACGGGCTAAAGGGATGTTTACGTGACTTTGTCTGTGTGTGTGTCTGTTACGAAATTCGTGGAGCGTGTTCCAGGCAGCATTCTAAGCCCAAATCTTGTATAGCGCATGCTACCTTCATGAAAGTCCAACACGCAAAAGCACGAGTAGATTCGTTGAGTGGATCCCTCAGAAATTGCGCGCCAAACGGGTCCACCTGGCTTCTATACATAACGAAAACGGCGCCAAAACGAATTGGCTGTGTAAATGGTCAATTTGCCAAGGTTCTAGCTAAGCGTTTATGAAGATTTTCGCGCAAAGATGAGCTCACGGTTCTCATTACCTTTATGGCGACTATCAAGTCATGACAAATCCAAAAACCTATTCAAATTTGCGTTTGTCTTCCTGCGAAAAGTTTCATCCAGGCGAAATCACCAATCTCACGTAAAAGGACTTTCTAAATGAGTGGTTGTTTACATTTTATTTGTGGTAGTCGGTATAGCGCGGTGAGTTCCAGTGCCACGATTTTACGAAAATGAGTAAGGCACATAGATAGTAGAGCCAGTGCGAACCTCTGCGAAGCAGAGGTGACGCACTGGTATAATTAGGTTAGTGCAAAAGTTCTTTCCCTCCAAATTCCGAAATTCATAACTTGTTGAATTCTCAACGAATTTGCAAGAACTAAAATTTGTTTAAGAGAGGAACTCATGCTCTTTGCAACTCTACTTGAACTGTTCGTTAGTGTGTACAAATGAAGGAGATAGAAGCTCAAAACCCAAATCACTCAAAATTTGGATTTTTCGTGTAGGGTCATAAATCGGAAACTTGCAGTAAAAACCGGAGCAGTCGGTAGTGTAGGTTCTTTTACCAGCTCTTTCTAACAGTGCAAAGTTTGCGCTGATTGAGCATCTCTATGAAAAGTTACGATTTCCCCGAAAAATGCCAAAATAAATCAAAATTGTCCTTTTGTATTGCTTGCTCGAAAATCGTAACTTTTCATAGAGACTCTCAATCAGCGCAAACTTTGCACTGTTAGAAAGAGCTGGTAAAAGAACCTACACTACCGACTGCTCCGGTTTTTACTGCAAGTTTCCGATTTATGACCCTACACGAAAAATCCAAATTTTGAGTGATTTGGGTTTTGAGCTTCTATCTCCTTCATTTGTACACACTAACGAACAGTTCAAGTAGAGTTGCAAAGAGCATGAGTTCCTCTCTTACACAAATTTTAGTTCTTGCAAATTCGTTGAGAATTCAACAAGTTATGAATTTTTGAATTTGGTGGGAAAGAAGTTTTGCACCAACCTAATATATATCATGGAGACGGCGAGCCGTGAATGCACAATGACATAAAAGTGACTAACCGGATCATATAGAGGAAAAGCAAGCTTTTCGTATCGAGACATTGCCTTGTCGATAACATCGCAGCTACCTATCTGTAAAACTTTCGATGAGCGCTCCTTAACTTTTTCGAATTCTTGTGACTTACTTTGGAAACGAAGTGAAACTGTCCAGGGTTTACGGTATGATTATAGGTGTCATACGAAATTGTCCAAGGCAAGGGCCATACTCCTCCTCTATAAAAGTTGGTGACTTTACAAAAATTATCGAGTACTTTTTGGTGGGTACCATTCTTAACCTCTCTAGCCTACAAGCCCATTAGGCTTCATAGAGCGTCCATGTGAGTTTTTCCAAAGTTCGGAATAGATAGAGCATGTATGCAATTTAGCCTCTACGATGAAATTACAAACTTACTGAGTGCTGGAGCCAGGATCGGGCCGACCATAATACCATCCTAGTGTCTCTTGAAAGAGGAGTGTGGCGATTAGCAGAGCTCTCATTTTTGAAAGCAATGTAACCAAACAATGAATTGGAATCTGGTGACAACGAGATAAGCTTGCTCTCGATTAGTACCCATTTTTGATCTCTTCCTTATCTAGTCATCGAAGACATAATCCATGCGCTGGTAGCATTGAGTCCGCTAAGCGGCAAGTCAACTCCTGATAAGAAGAGATGGGCAAGCGCCGTGAAGAAGACGAGAATTCGACTGTATTATATTACCAGCATACTCTTAATATTTTAGTCTCAACCTATTTTTGTGCTTCTACACCACATGAAGTCACGCCAGCCGTGAGCCACAGTCAGGCTGATACTCGAGCACTATCAGGGACAACGAATTTGGAGAAGAATGGCAAAACTTATGACCTCACACACATTTATATAGTACAGACTTTGAACATAACAACAACGTACAACTTTGAGACTAAGTGTTTGAATCATAAATCCTAATATCAATACTGTATAGAAAAATGAGTTTATTTAACTGCCAGTGCGTCACCTCTGCTTCGCAGAGGCTCGCACTGGCTCCACTATCTAGGCCCTACTCATTCTCGCATAATGATGGCATTGATACTCACCGAGCAATGCCGACTATGACGATCAAAATGTAAACAACCACTCATTTCGAAAGCTTTTTATGTGAAATCGGTGATTTCGCGTAGATGAGACTTTTTGCAGAAAAACCGCAAATTTCTATAGGTTTTGATTTTCCCATGGTCTTGACACTTGCAATAAGAACAGCAGTCACTGTGAGCTACATCTTTGTGCAAAAATCTGGTCAAATGCTCTGGTAAAACCTTGGCAAATTGACCATTTACGCAACCAATATTTTTTGGCGCCGTTTTTGTAAAGTAATGGACTTTGTATCACCTTTTTGGGCCTAAATTCATGGCTTGCACATTTACTTGGCATAAACGTCCACGACTCTACAGAAGGTGGAATTACGGACCCAATTTTGCGGCCCAAATGCAAAGTGGATCCGTTTGACGCGCAATTTCTAAGGGATCCACTCAACGAATCTGCTCGTGCTTTTGCATGTTGGACTTACAGGGTAGCATGCACTGCGCAAAATTTGAGCCCAAGAGGTTGCTGGAACTTGCGCTATGACTTTCGTGACAGACAGACATTCACACAGACAGACACACAAAAACACGTAAACACTCTTAACGCGTTATTATAGTAGGATTGCCATACTACCTTACTGAAGAGTTCAAGAGATGGCATAGAAACAACACAATACCCCGTATAAGGAGAACAACACGGAGTTTGAGTTTTCAAGCTATAATATTTTGTTTATAAACACTATTATCTATTACTATTATGTCCTTGGATAGCTTGAAAAGCACCTTTTCTATATATGCTTGCTAAATTTGTTGAGATACATGAAGAAATATATCAGCTAATCATCGCTCAACAATGGCTAGACCTGAAGCACGGAATGGAATGAAAATTGGGAATTTGAAATTTCGCACATACCACTCAAAAGTTTCTAAAACATTTGTTTTATTTATTTGTGTAACGCACAAAAGTGTGCCACAAAGAAGAAACAAAAAGAACACAAATTTGGGATTAGATTACTCGTCCCTTGCTTTATGACTAAGGTCGCTCTCTATCTCCAAGAAGTGAGTGGAACTCCAACAAGATCTTTTTCCCTTACCCGAACACAGAAAAATGTAAGCAATCACCAGAGCTAAGATGGCCAACTTAACCCTAGAAGGACGAGACTACAGGGATCGGCGAGCGAGAAGGGGGACCTCAGAGCACGTGCTCACAGGTCCTCGATCTCCTCAAACGGCTATCAAACTAGGAGAACTTTCCATAACCCTTGGATAGATTGGTGACTGTCAAAAAGCTCGTTGACATGCAGAACATCTGCTCAAAACCTCAAATTCGTCAACAAACTTGCTCACATCTTTTCAAAAATTGACTCGACATGCATGGCTCAATCTCCATACCAAGCATATAGATCTTGCAGAACTAACGTACCTGCGTGAGAAAAGTCGTTCGTGGTTCTAGGACGGGGCATCGATCAGCAAGTGCGAAAACGTTAATCCACCGCACATAACCAACAAAAGAAAACCATACAGTGAGTATGAAAGCAAAATTCGTGGATTTCTACAACTTGCTCGTATTGTTGAAATTCCTTGTTCAAAAGTTCTAAATGTAGCAATCCTACAAGTTGTTTTCGAAGTGAGAAATTTGTAGGGAAATAGCGGGTGTTCTTGTGAATAGTTGAGGACTTAATGTTTAGAAGTCAACTATGTTCAAAGTCCGCATAGCGTCTATGTGTCTAACTTTTTGCGCAATTTCAAAGATTCTTGCAAGAAATTATCGCATTCACCGCAAAGGCGCGATAGGAGGAGCAGGGTCTTTTCCAGATGAAGGGGGTTTCGACTATTTCCGACCTAGAAAAATGAAGAGGGATAACTGATCTTTGAGGTGAATGCTGACATAAGCTTGCGTGCCGAGTGGGACTGAACACTTTGTATATTATTCGATAGCTAAGGACACGGGGAATCGGTCTAGACCACTATTCTTTTTTCTAGCTTTTCTGTAAAACGAGAAGTGAGCATTTTTATGTAGCTACGATATCAGCCAATTGTGGGTAATAACATGCTTCATTTTTGAAACCAAGAAGGTCTTTTTCAGAGTTTTAGATATGAGAGACCTCTAACTTCTCTTTTATTTGTTATTTTTCTCTGGTGAAAGGAGATATGTTGGATTTTTCATCATTGGCCAGCCCAGATTTTCTACTTTTGCCCATCTTTTTTTTTGCGGCAATGCGTATTCTTTGATCCAGTGTTAATTATTCAAAGAATCGGCGTTTTTCCAAACTAAAAGTGTCATTGTAATTGCTGCTTTATTCTGCCCATCTTTTTTTTGCGGCAATGCGTATTCTTTGATCCAGTGCCTTGATTCTAGTCTCAATCTCAGGCGAAACGGGTCAGACAGGCCGACCCTAAACTGAAAACGTCGGAGGGATTTCTCACCCTCGCATCTATGGGGAGCCGTCTAAGCCATCTGGCTGTGCGACAAACGAAAGAGTCAGAGGTATTTGCAAGAGCACTTTTCTATTTGCAATACACACTCAAAAACTTTCTGTTCGGGCTCCACAAGGCCTGAATATTCAGTATTTGCTTGGTCCCAGTCTAGTTTTTGAGCGGATAATGCGAAAACAAAAAATGAAACATTACGAATATCTTTTATACTTCATACTGCGTAGACCCAAAGCGGACAGATAGGCAAAGATCGAGGATAAACGGATTTGGAATAGCATCTGCAAAAAAACTTATATTAAACGCTTTCTGAAAATTCTCTAGCTTTTCTAATTCTTTCAAAAAAAAAACCTCACGAAGGACGTGTACTCCAGAAGCGGTAAAGCATAGTCTGATACAAACGTACTAAGGTCTGCATCATTGCTGTATATTTTTCAAAATAACAAAGAGGACGGATACATGGATCAATCTGTGCTTCTGTATATTGTTATAAATAGAAATTTTTATTGTTGAAGCGATCCGAACTAAACTTCTACATCTACACTTCCGGGCAAGTGTCACACTTTTTTTCGTCATCATCGCCATCGATTTTTATCGATTTTCTGCAAAATTCGAGCTAATATGGGGTCAGAATTCGACATAAGGGGGTAATAAGCATGCTGATTACGAATACGATAATAATTTTAGAGTGATCGATTATGTTTATTGACGATTTTTTGCAAAGTTAGAGCTATGAGGCTGGGAATCAGCGCACAGGGGGGGGGGGGGTAAACGAGCATGCTGACAAGGGAATGGTTACAAATCGAAGCGGCCAATCCAAGCAAGCAGCATAACATTAGATGCAGCACAAAACGCTGACTCGAAGTCTTTCTTCCTTACCTAGAACTTTTGTTGAAGTAATAAGCTATTGAATGCCATCATTTTGCTATGAAATCGTGCATGTAAAGTTCAACGTACAGAGCCATGCTCGGCTCAATCTCAAATCAAAACATCCAACTAGGTTACTTCGAATGGCTCATACTCAAAGGTGAGCCAAATGGGCAAAAATTTCGCAATTTTTTTTGCACGATTTGTTCGCAGTAAAACTGCACATAACTTCGCCTACAAAGGCGTTCTGCAGATGAAAAAATGAGGTTTGAAGTCAGCGTTCTATGCTGCATCGAATGGTGTACAGCTTGCTTGGATTGGCCACTTCGACTTTTGATTATTCCCTTGTGAGTACTACAATCGGTTTTTGAAATTATCTGTCATCTTCATCGAATTTATCGATTTTTGTCGATTTTTTGCAAAGTTCGAACTACGGGGCTGGAAGTTAGCTCAATGGGTAAGTGAACATGCTGATTACGAACACAATAATAAGTGAAGCTATCTCTACTTTTATCGATTTTATCGAGTTTTTGGACAGCTAAAGTTGGGGACTGGGAGTGGCAGGGGCGGAGGGGGAAGGGGAGGGGTAAGTGGGCATCCTAATTATGAAAACAAAACGGGTAGAGAGAATTTGCGTTTGAGAGTGGGCACGGTTGTACAGGAATAAGGATAGTGACCTTTATCACAATGTTTTGACACGGTCGGGCGGAGCAGGTATGCCAACCAGCACATAAATAAGCATCTTTCAGGTTGCGAATGTACATAACATAATCCAGAACACAGCAAAGCATAATCGTCCGTTTGCCTTTATTGTGTCTTTTAGTACAGATACATCTACATTTATTCAAACAAATTGTGGGGTATAACAAACCCGTTCGAGATTGAAAGAAGGGCTTATGAAAGAGGTTGTAAAAGATTAGGTAATGCGTCACTTCCAGCACAACAGTGCTTTCGTAGTTTTCAAAGCTACTATGCCGGGGTCGTATACGTGATTGCCTGCAGCCCAAATTCTTCTTATTTCATGCAGGGACACCATGTTATAATTTTGAAAAACTGCATTCGCTGAGTGTGGAGTTACCTCGTAACTAGAAATTTGAAATTTAGAAAATTTGATTAGCAGATTTCGGATTATGATTTATTCACTGCGTTTGAAGGCAGTAGATCGGCAGAATGAGACCCGATTTCAACGCGGAAGCAGCGCTCATCTCCTGTATTCTCTGGCCCGCCCACAATGGGATGGGTGAAATTTCGGGGGTTAGAAGTGGCAGAGAAAGATCGGATTTTGGCCGATAGGTTCCATATGGGGGCTCCTACCCTGAGCTTGTTTTGTCACGGGTCTTATTCTGCCGGTCTACTGCCTTTAAGCAGATTTTGCAAAGTTAGCCAGTCGCTATGCTTTCATTTATGGTATCAAAAATAAATTCAAAGGAAATTTTAACGCATGCTGTTGGAAAGATGAAGATATGTGGTACAGAACATAGAAGGTAAACAGTGTTAAGAGTACGGAAAAATGTTATATTGTGAGTATTTTGAGAACCCAATACAATGGCAGCAAAACAACCATTTGGGTCTACGTAGTTTAAGTAGAGTGTGCAAATGTGTCGCACATAAAGTCTACTTTTATTCGCTACGGAAACTTTATGAACGAACGGAGTTGACAGCTTACGCCAACAATGAATTAGAGTTTGTTATATCAATCTTGAACTGTGACGTACATCTCCAACTCTTGTGTTGTGTTCATATTATTAGGTTGGTGCAAAAGTAATGCGCGTGTTTTAGCCCCGGGTTCAGGACAACTTTCTTCCATGAAACTAACTTTTTTGGAAAAGACAGCATACTCTTGAGAAGCACTTTCCATGCTCTCTCTGATAGTGGTTGAAGCAAGCTTCTAGCCTCACCCGCTGAAAATGCTAGCTTTACACAACCGCACTCAAAATCAAAATTTTATTGCATTTACATTTCTGACCAGAAATCAAACGCAAATGGCGGCATTCTTTTGGAATTTTAGCTACTGTACGTAGTAGAAATTATCTACATTATTCACCTTTGTCATTTTCTTGAAAAAAAAAACTCTCAGGAAAACTTTTTTTTGCTTATCAATCGATAGTTTTCTAGCCGCCTGTGATATGACTATAGGGAATGTGCGCTGTATTGCAAAAGATTTGCTGCCTCTGATGGTTTTCATTAAGTCAAGAAATGTAGATTCTCAAGAAAGTTATAGTACGTCAAATTGAGAACTCGCAAAACGCGCATTACTTCTGCATCAACCTAATATAAAAAATAAGCAGTTTTACACTTTTGCAGGTGATGAAACTACCGCGTGCCTCCGTTTTCTCACCTCATTTCACAGTTCTGCCCATTGATGACTGGTACCTGCACACAGGGTCAAGCGTGTTGATGCGATCCGAGACCCCCATTTACGACCCCTCCCTCTTGAAGGTACCCATCCGTACGACCCCCCGCCCCATCTACCCCCTCCCCCCCATTTACCCCCTTATCTCCCCTGCCCACATTCCTCGCGGAAACCTGTTAAACGAATGTCAATCTCAAAAAACATCTGCGTGAAACTTCAATGAGGTTTCGGAAGCATAATTTCTAAGCCAATAGGTGCACCCAGCATGTGTAGCGCACATACACACCTTCAGTAGTGTTTGAGACTCTACAAGTTTTTTTTTGAATTTTCAGGCATACTTCAGGCCAGCAAATTCGGTTCCCGTAGGCGAAACAAATTTTTGCACGGAGAAGAAAATGACATTTTTGAACAACAGAAGATGTTTTCGATTAAGAAGCTTACTTCCTACCTCTTCCACATTTTTTCCCGCGAAAAAAAAAACGCTTTAGCGCCGTCCAGAACGACGTCAAAAACATGCATGAGCACGGTAGTTTGAAAATTCGTAACTAAGGCCAGGAAAAAACTGAGAGGCTGCAAAGAACAGGTTCTGTAGCATAGTGACAAGACGATTCATAGAAGAAGTTTCAGCCCTTGAGGAGTAGTGAGCTCGAGAAAATTTAGATGCGACTCTCGCGATTTTAGATGCGATCCTAAAAAGTAAAAACTGGGATTTTTGAGCTTAAAATTTTGTAACTCATCGGAGAAATTATGAAACGGCCTGAAATTTTTAGGATATAAAGTAGGAAGATGGCCTCGTATTACAGCAAAATTGCAGCCAACAAGCTTCAATAGCTCCGGAAAAATCTAGATGCGACCCAGATACGACCCCCCCTTTTGTCATTTTTTGCCACCATACATAAAATCATAAGAAAATCCGAAGGCCATAAAGTAGAACCAAATTTTGCACAAGTGTAGTAGAGCACCTCTTAAGTACAGATAAATTGTAAGGGCCGTATTAAATGCATTACAAATAGATTTACAAATTATTGATAATTAGCGTTGATAGAGATATGCGCTTGTCGAGCGTGCGAGTCTTCAGTGAGCCTTCGGAAGCAGAATGTCTACACCAATCAGTAAATCCAACGTCTTTATCACACATACATGTCTTTAGCAGCCTTTGAGCTCCTAAAAGCTTTTATTTTTTAATTTTAGTCATGCCAGCAGGGTTCGATCCCCGTTTGCGACAATATTTTGCGGGAGAAATAGTGATTCCCATAAAAAAATGAACTAAGTCATAATCTTTCAAAAGTGCAGCAAATGAAGCAAATTTCTACGTTTGCAAGTGTTTTCAAATTATTGTTTACGTTTTTATTTAATACATTGGACACGGCATTCCATGAATTTATTGTTAAGAACATGTAATAATTATTTGCCATCCGATTTCCTTCCAATCTTACGGTTATTTGATCCAAACTACCTCCCTTTACGACCCCCCCCTCACCGCAGGTACCCGCTTACGACCCCCCGTTGCGACAGTCGCATCACACGCTTGACCCTGCCTGCACATCATCATTGATGAGAAAGGCTACTTGTTACGGCAGCTGGAGCATAGCTTTTGAAGTATATGGTAGAGAGAGTTTTATTAATAAGATGATTTTGTGAAATTTCAGCGGCTGTCGCAAACGAATCCAAATATTGAAACTTTTGCTGAGAGTAATACAATGACTTTGACTCATCATTTCTCAAAGAATTATTGAAGATACATGAAAAGGTCGTTGAAGGCACCGTCCACCCAGATTTTCGACTTCCACGTTTTTGTTGTTTTAGGGCCTTCTCATGCCCCTGAATCCGATTATGAAGTCGAGAATGCACGAAAACCCCGGCAATCCCCTTCCAGAGGACCCACAGGACGGCTTTCCGGAACGGTGATTGGATGGGCGCGCACAAACGGGCGGGCATAGATGAGGGTCCTCGTGCATCTTCGCTATTCCGAAGCGATTTTCTCGCTTCCGAAGCGGCATTTTGCGCCGCGACTTGGGCATTGGATTGATAGGGGGGCCCTACTATTATATGCCGTCAAAAGCTCGACACCCTCAACTTAGGGTAGACGGTGCCTCTAAGCAAGATTGTGCATCAAGAATTTAACCAGATTTATTTGTATAAATATGGACGCATCACATACCTATCAATTAACTAACATAAAGAGAGTAGAAGGCAGCCTGAATCAAAATCAGAGATCTTTTAACTGTGAGCAAGAGCGGCAACAGATGTCTGAGAAGTCTTTAGCTTTGCAGTAGTGCCGTAGTTTCACCTTTGAATATACACGACATGTCTTCGGGTTAATGTCGACGCACTCTGAAATGATTTGAATCGTAAAATAGTTCGTAATCTGCGTTTGCCTACCTTGCATTTTCTTTGGATTGTCGACGCAGCGACCAGCAATACACCACTGGAAAGTATATTTAAATTCTGAACTACGCTTGAATTCATCTTTTTTAAGGCTAGTAAACTCCCCCGCTACATAAATTTTTATTGCGGTAATCAACTATATGACTGCTTTCATGGGTTGGTCCAGACTGCGCGACGTACGCAGCTCGCACATGTGCATAAAGATACGGAGCCTAGTCGCGTACGCCTATGCCGCGCAGTCTAGCCCAACTTTGGTGCGCCGATGATACAAGCAAATATGGCTGTATGGATCTCATATGGGTACGCATGGGAAAGTTCTCAAAACAGCGGCTCAGAAAATAAAGAAATCTAAGTTTGGAATCTTCTCCGAAAGTCCTGCATGACCACATCAAGTTCTGCAGCAGCATGGCTCTCCGAGACAACTGTTCCCGAATCGGTTATGCAAACCATGCTCGCGCTCCGTCGAGTTCGTAATTACCTTCCTAGTTGGAGATGCCGTCGCTAAGCTTTGGCTTCGGGGACCCGCAACGACTTCAAAGGCAGCGGCATGGCAGAATTTCGTTTTCCAGTTCTTCACCTCTTGCCTTCTCGCAATGAGGAATTCATATCTGGGCTTCCCATCGCATGGAAATGACAAAAATGCGCTTTTTCTGAAGCTTTTTAGGTACAAATTCAGTGAAAATACGCCGGAAAAAGCCGCGCCCCGCCTTTTTCGTTACGGACCCTGCCCAGTTCTGCACTAAAGGGTGACCTGGAAAGCTGCGAAAAAAGCGCATTTATGCCATTTTCATTCGCTGAAAAGCCAGATATGGGTTCCTCATGGCGAGAAGGCTCCGAAAAGGTGAAGAGCTGGAAAACGGAGTTCTGCCGAGCCGCTGTTTTTAAAGGCAGCATCCAGGCAGATCTGAACCTATGGGGCTTTTACGTGGAAAGTATTTTTGGGGCCCTAACTAAGGCACTGCCCAAGCGGCAGCTTAGGTAGTGCTGTAATGGCTGAGATATTCTCTTCGAAACTAGACCCCACGACCGTGTTTCGCGTGGATTCATGGCCCAAAGCGTGGATCCTGGCGCGAAACTGCCATGAATCCATGCGAATACGTTCGCGCGGACCAGTTTCGAGGGGGGGGGGTGTCTCAGCCATTAGAGCACTACCTGAGCTGCCGCTCGGGCAGTGCCTTAGTTAGGGCCCCAAAAGTACTTTGCACGTAAAAACCCCATAGGTCCAGATCTGCCTGGATGCTGCCTTTAAGTCTTCAATCTTTGTACAGCAACCACTCGTAAAATTCAAGGTAAAAGACCTTAGAAAGCTCTTTGCAATTTCGGTTTCCGATTTTTGAGATTACCGTAATGGATAGCTCTCGGGTAAACAAAAACTTCTTAGGTTGAGGAGCTGCCAGCCACTGCCTTCGCAGGGTGATTTAAGTTGACGGAACTACCCTGTCAATAACGAAAAAAGAATGATCTGACAAATTAGGTTGGAAGCCAAAATAGGTTAATCTGGCCCCTTTCTCCAAGCTTCTCGAGATATGTGAGTATGGTGCTGCGGAGTCGGACTCAGTTTGTGCGGAGTGTACAAAGTTACTAATGTTGAATTAGGAAATTTTAGAGTTTGGCTAACATTACCTTCATTTTTCCACACTCCGTGCCATCCAATGCAGGCAGATAGCTTCTTGTCTCGCAAGGTTCACTTCTCTTTTTAGTTCGATCTTTACACCAGATTCGGTGACATAGATCGACGCCACGAAAGTAGTCTTTGCTCTATAATAAGTGCAAGACTAGATAGAAAAAGTTATGGTAGCTTCGGAATCTACCGGGCAGACGCCATAATGAGGACTAAATGCAATTTGGCATTGTTGTCGCAGTCCTATCATCTCTCCAGGAGTGCGCTCCTTCGAGTCTCCAGTAAATGATTCCTTTAGTAGCTGGTAGTCAGGCTGCTTTGGCTTCCAAACACATTGTGCCGATGATTTTCTATAAAATATTTTAGAGGTCGTTAATTAGTGCAAATTATCTGTACTTCAACTTCCTCTCGATATTCTTGACACTGCACGGACTCATTACTCGGCTGTGTGCAAAGCGTTCATAGTCTTCGGTGCCAGATACAGTGACGGCCATAAGAAAATTTGCCTCAGACGGGCAGTCTGCAGCTCCGGGGTTGCCGTCATGAAACGCTCCGAGGCTAAACACTTTGTGATTCTATAGTAAAAGATGTAAAAGTAGTGAGTTTTTTAAAATTTGATTCTAATAAACGTAAGAAAATAAAATCTAGGAGGATTTTTGATTTTTTACACGCTAAAGAACGTGAAATCAAACAGAACCTGTGTCCTAACTCATGTGCAGCAATCAGCGCAGTTGCAGCTGCTCCAACGTCTTCTACGATGCTTGCAGATTCAGACCCTTGGCAAATATTGCCGACATAAGCCATTCCTTGCGTTGCTGATTCACCACGAGGCGAAACAAGGTCAAATCTCAATGAATTTGTGTTTTACTAAATCTGTGAAGTCTCTGACTTGAAGGCCTACTTTGTGATGAGGATTGCATAATCATGTTTTGGCAGAAATGATTCGTGATTTTTGAGCCATACAGTAAACCTGTCGAGTGCATCTACAGCAGATATGCTCAGCGTTAGCCTGAAACACATCCCTAGAATTAGGATAAGAGATTAAATGATAGAAAAGCTACTTTAGACGTAATTGTGCAGTAACGTACCCACTCTGTGCTATTGTTTTCTTCAAAATCAAGTTGCATTGTTGTGTTGTCAAAATTGGTCATATTTTGCGTGCTTGTATCCTCAAATTCTCCAAGCGCATAAAACATAGGACAATCGTCTTCCCTAAAGTTGGTCAGTTTCTCCGGTTCTCAACTTTTCTTCTGAGCTAGATCTGGCTTCTGTTTGACTTAGCACGTGAACCACCTTATCCAACTTTTACTCTTTTAGCTCATCAAAATAGGTTGTCTCATACATTTGCGTAGCTCGATAACCCGTTTCCACAAAGAATTTTGCATACCAGTTTTGAAATGCATTCAATGATGTTCTGAAAGTTTTTCCGCATAATACCCCAAGTTCAATAACAGAGGAAAACCAAATAAACAATTACTTTGATAAATAATGATAATACTTTACAGCGGCATCAATAAGGAAGTTACAAATTGAAAGTTTTTGCTGGGACAATAACTTTGCGACATACCGGAAGGCTACGAAACTGCCGATCATTTTCATATGAATGGTTTGGTCCAAAATCTTGATCTCATCATAGATGGCCTTTACCTAAATCAAACTGATCTTCTTGTTTTGGCAATCATTTGTGTAACATTTAATGATGTATTAAGACTTCGAAAAAACACGCCGAAAGAAAAAAGAGCTACTTAAGCCATTCTAATGAGTCATAGCAGTCCTTGCAAGGCAGTCACTTTCCGCGGAAGGCTAAACAAGAACCCGAGACCAGAGCATTGGTGGCACACGCGCTAGTGAATATTGTTTCTGTTCGCGTGAGTAGAGGGGTTTTGTATGCACCTACCTACACATGTATAATAAATACATAACCTATATACAATGTACAAGCCGCATTTTGGTTGTGTTCAGGCACTCAGACAATCGCCGGGGCAGGCGGGCACCGGAAAAATAGATGGCTGATTTCTCGCACCCCGCTCGCGGATCTTCTGGAAAGCAATCAGAATTTTTCGGAACGCCGCTTGCTGAGTTCTCGATTCCTCAGAGATTCAGCAATATATCTGCAAAAGATAAGAGCGAAAAAAGACTCAACAGGCGGTCTTTCAAAAATCCGCTGACCATTCTCCTGAAATTTGCGAGCGGAATGCGAGATTTCAGCAACCGTATTTTCCGGTGCCCGCCTGCCCCCGGCGATTGTCTGAGCAGTGTCTCACCAAAATTGAGCTGGCACGGTTTAGACATATCTTGTTAGATAATACCTCCCCCCCCCCCCTCCTGAGCCTAATTAAGCTCTGCCCAAGTCCGACTATTTGGCCCGTACTACCCCGAAAATATTGGGGCAGAGAGTAACCGAACAGAAGATTTGGCTGGCGCAGGACAAATCTTTGGTTATCCCTGTAGCGCTTTAACATTCTTATTCGGGTAACGCCCTACTTGAAAGAGTGTTTCACCAAAATCTGAAATTTGCGATTTTATATAACAAGCCCTTCTAACCCTGTCTGACCTTAAGCGGTAAATTGCATAAAAATCTCAAAAATCCCTTTCATTGGCCATAAAGGATAACTCAGGCAATTGTGCTTTCCTACTTCGGACTGCATGCAGCTTTAGGACTGCTTACAAGGAGGCCATTGACTGGAACGGACGTGGTGAAACACGAAAGGAAAACTTGCAAATCGGCCAGCCGCCCTAATCGCTGTAATGCACTTTGAGTGTAATTCTTTCAAGGGTAAATGGGGATTCAACTGTTTGCAGTTGAGCATCGGTCTACTGCTCCAACAGAGCAAATCGAAAAAGGCATTACTTCAGTGGTGAAGTGCTTTACTTGAAACTATGGAAGAGATGGGGATCAAAAGTTCATAACTCGTACTTCTTTCGTTGGGCGCTTCGCGTTTTTGCAATTTTCTTATATCGAAGCGCGCGAGATCACATGGACTTGGGAAAGCTCGCAATCTACAAAAACAGCATTTCTTGATTGGGACTGTTCTAAGGCAAACACCAGTGGATTTTGCGTGCAACTCGTTATCGTGGCCGCGTCTGCTGAAAAAAGCTGTGAGAGAGAGAGCTACTACTTCACGATTTACATGCGCAGCGATGCGATGAAGTTAGAGAGGATAAGATGCAGCTGAACATAGATTATCTGCTTCAAACCATCTCCAGCACCGTTGGACATTTTCAGCACAATCAGGAATGCAAACTTGTGCTATCTAGGAACCCACTGTATGATGCCAATTCTTCAGTATGACCTCGCTCAGTAAAAGCCTCGTTTCAAATGTCCGTGTCACCAATTAAGCCGTGTTTAAAACCCTGCTTCCTACTACTCACACAATGAAGGCAGTATCACTACAGTTTAGTTGACTGACTCAGTCTAGGATAAACAAGTTTTTGTCGAGCCCTAGCGAACGCAAATTATTAAAATAGTTTAGAATCTTTTCAGTCGATGGTAAACTAATTGCAGGCGTTTCGAGCCCTTAATCAGCTCATATTCGAAATAATTATCGTACGAGATGGTAAATAGTGACTTCCTGACTCCATGTTCGATTAGTCTCATTGAACGTGGTAGTGTAGTCAAAGATAATGATTTGCAGTTACATTATTAAAAAAATAATTCTCATAATGGTTTGCTTTTGCATGGTCACAATTAATAACTTTTATGGATTACCTAACAAGGAAAGGATGATCGGTCGAAGTGGCCTTTTTGAATGAGCTGTATATTAGGAAACCCTTCTTGGTAAGACAATCTCAAACTACTTTCGCTTGTTGCCGAACAGTTTTGTGGGGGGAGCTATGCGGCCATTTTTTCCTGCACAGCCGGCTCACCTACTAATGAGCGAGGCGCTAATAGCTCATCGATTGTGGTAGTGGCGCAGTGGCAAGGCAGTGGACTGTGTAGCAGAGGTCGAGGGTTCCGAAACTACTGCTGGCGTTTTGTTTTGCAGTTTGTAAAAAGTCTTTTGGGTGACAGTAAACGAGAAATGCTCATTGCTACACTGTTGATACAAGCTATCCATTGCAAAAAGTCACTATTTCTACAATCAGCTATAATCTTCTATAATCGTTTATATTTTTATAGTTTTCCATAAATATTCCATTATTCCATAAGTGTTGATATTGAAATCCATTATTGTAATATCAAGATCCCCACGGATTTACATATTGTAGAAGATTACATTCGATTGAACAAATAGTGAGTTTTGCAGTGAAAAGCTGTTTCCAGTGGCGGTTTTTCAGCGTGAGTCAGCTTCATTTAATGATTTCCTTTGTTGGACTTACTTGCTCGAAGACTGCCTGCAAGTACTCCAGAGTGTAAATCCGTCCCATCTGCATGTCGCCATCAGACATATCAACAAAACCTAGAACGTTGAGCATTTAAGTAATTTGGTCTTTAATCGACGAATTGCCTTGGAAAGTTGAGTAATCTGCCATCATCAGAATGTCCAAGCCCAAAGTATACTTCTTCTCGTTATCTAAAGATAAGAGCGTTTTATTCGTATATCGCTGTATCTAAAAAGATCACATTAGAGAAATGCTGCATGTTCTTGGAATTATGTATACTTACTCTCATATAGGAGACGTTTCCAAATCTGACTTTCTTTTTGAGTTCAACTCCCGAAGAGCCTGAATTTTATTATATATGAAAAAAGCAGATTGCTAACGAAATGAAATTTACCTTGGAATGCTGCAAAAATTAGCAACCAGAACGATGTCCCCTTAGTACGCATTGCATAGATAATTACGATTTTAGCACGTATTAATCTGAAAACAATAAGTGTGGAGCCAAAAGGGAAATGGGTAAGCGATGGCAGTGAGAAAGAGGATTCCTCCATGGTACGAAACTATAAAGTTAGACAAGATTGATGATGAGCAAAGTTTTAATTTATAAACATTTCAGGCAACGTAACAGTCACCATAAAAAGCATTATTTCAATTAGGGCAGACGTTCCCTTTTCTCAATTCCATCTTCGACATGATCGCACTCTGGACTTATAAAAAAGATAACAGCTTGATATATGGGTCGCGAATAAGTTATTATTAAGTTCTCAACCTAACATCGAGCGGGCTGACATCACATTTTGTCAAAACTTCGTTCACCATTAAAGTAGCCAAATCTTCCTTTGCTAGGATGTTGCAAAGTTCAAACATGAAAGAAGATAGTGTTAAAATAAAAGTATTCTTTTAAAAGGTAGTGAAAAAGACAAATGTTTTTTATTTGGAATTTCTCTAGTCACTAAACTGGAAGACTTTTTCTCGGAAAAATGAAAAGAAATTTATTTGGTCCATCATTGATATCGTAAGGTTCAGATAAAATTCCAGAAATTGCAAAAGAATTTCTTAATGGATTAGGTTGTCTACATAATAGAGTTGGCTCTTCATTTGGAGCTCAGGCGAACCTGCTGTGAAAACTGTAAGCAATTTTTGAGGGAGAAGTAATGACTTGAAATAAGTTCTTAAACAAAGAAAGGGGGCCGAAAAGCACAAATATCTATTAGGTTGATGCATAATTCCTGCACCAAATTAGGTACAGACCGCAATAATCTGGAATAATCCTACATCCCAAATAGGATTCGATATATCATTAGATAGAGCAAACCTAGCTCTACAGAACAGTGCTCAAATATCTGCACCAGCTTTGATCCAAGCGAAGTTTTGAGCCAAAAACTGAAAAAAAACCATGCGTTCGAAAACCTTAACACCAATCAAAACAAAATTGTAACTTCGTTCAAAAGCTCCTACAAAATTTCTTTCTTGCTCACGCGTAGGCATTCCAGATATTTCGTAAGATATTTCTCTATGCAGTTCCTGTATTTTCCTCTCAGCTAGGAATTGAGAAAACAAGTTTTTCGTGTTTTTGGCAAATTAGTGCTGAAATGTTCCAGCACTAACAGTTGTATAGTACATGCCGTTAGCAGTGAAACTTTACATCGGCCTTCTAGAACTGCTAGTTCACGAGAAATGACGAATCTAGCTCTCCTTATCCGAAATTTTCCTTGGCTAGTTGCTAAAAATTCCATATTTCTCGTAAACCAGCTGCTTTAGAGAGCTGAAAATTCGCACTCACGCTTCTAAGGTCCTATAGTATACAACTGCCAGTGCTAGAACATCTCAGCATTGTAAAAAAAAACATGAAAAACTTCGCTTTCTCAATTTCTAGCTGAGAGAAAAATACAGCAACTGCATAGAGAAATGTCCTCTACGAAATGACAATGCATGAACATGTTAGGAATTTTGAAGGATTTTTCTGAACGAACTTCCAATTTTTTCTTGGATTTTTGGGGCTCTTGGATCTTTTTTAAGCACTTCTTGTAGACCTCGATTTGCTCTATCTGATAATTATCGAATCCTATCTAGGATATAAGATTATTCCAGGTTATTGCGGTCTGCAGCTATTTTGGTACAGGAATTATACATCACCCTAATATGTTGAAACTTGTCTTTTTGCTTGCGAATTACCTCGGTGTTCACATTTGAAATTCAAGATGAGTACATGTCCATAACATAAAACTAAAGGACGACACTGAGTTTGCAGCAGCTATCGCGAGAAAACTAGACGTGCTTTCAAGAACAATACAGACGATTATCTAGCAGTAGACAATCTATGACAAATCTGCTGTAAAACTGCAAATGATTGTCCGCCAACGATCAAAACTAAAAGATTCGTGTAGTTAAATGGAAACGGCAAATCATCGGAAATGCTTGGTGATTTAAACTGAAAATGCTGCTGATTACGTTAGCCGCACAAGAGTAAGTGGAGGCAAAAATTCACACTTGGGTCAAGGACGAAAGAGGTCATTTCGACCATTTTTGAACAAAACTTGGAAGATAAGAATATGATAGTTGTGTGATGGCAGAGCAGCCCTTCGAGAACAGATGCAATCCTACCATCATGTAACAGAAATGTCTTAGTTTCGTTCAAACGATGCGAGATATTGTCATGGGTATTCAAAATAATTACGACTGTATTTACCAACAAGTCAACCAGCGCGACGGTGCAAGGTGTTGAAACTCGACGTACCCTTTATCTTGTATTCCACTCGCAAACAAAAATTTCGCATTTGCCTTTTGAACTATGCCAGAAAGTTGGAAAGTTTGTTCGCATTATATTGGACTTAAAAACATTGGAGACTGTAGATGTTCCACTTTTTTGCAGTTGCACAACTGAATTGCTATCACTGGAACTTTATTATCTTTCAACAAGATGAGAAAGAGAAACACAACATTTTGGCATTTTGTTTGAAGGTCATAAGGGGTTCAGTGCTACAACAACAATTTAAAACAGAAGCGAGCACAAAAGGTTTACGAATGGCTTCAAGATTTGTTACAGAAGAATATGGTGATCACAAGAAAGCCTGCAGTAATCCAAGATGTCACAAGATAAAGAAAGTGCAATCGTGACTTTTTCGAACAATTTAAGGGCATGTCGGTGCATCCGTTGCCAAAAGCTGCTATCGGCGCCGAACCCGCAATGAACACCGAAGGGTGAGTGCAGTGCGTCATATTGCTTAGGTGTTGAGTGTTAGCAATAAAATGGTGCACAAGACAGACAGAACAGTTGTTAGGTAAGTGAGGAAAACGATCTTTCTTTACCCCAAAGCTCCCCCATACTATACTGTGTATACTATATCGGTATATCCTATCTGCTTCCAGTTCTTGATATTACCTTCCATACGTCCTATATGAGCATTACACGCGATGTCCAATTTTGAGCTCAGGAATTTCTGTGCTTTTGTCTTTGCCCATTTCAGTTGCAAATGTCCTCATTTGTCGTCCTAAGTGAATGGCCATAGTTTGCCGGCAACGGTTTTCGGTGCTGTAGGGGTTGCCGAGGTTGCCGTTGTTGTAGGACCTCATGATAGCCTCCAGTTTCGCGCGCTCTCTGAACTGTCTCTGACCCCGACAACCCCGACAACACCGACAACCGTTGCCGGCAACCTATGGCCGTCCCTAAGGGCACTGCGCGTAGAGGAGAAGCAGAACTGTGGGAACTCACGCGAAGTTTCATTTCAGAGGTCAACCTGACTGTTTTTTTTTGTTGGGCTATCGCTATAAGCAAAATGTCGCTTGCTTAAAATTTGTATCACTCCCCATTCTTGAAAAGAAGACTATTATGTAAATTTTTGAAAAACCATGTGATGATACGTAACAATGCGGTGGGCAAAATAATTGAAACCAACACTGATATCAATGATCGGGCTGATAGGAAGACGGTTTTGAAAGCGTCCTCTTAATAGTATGCTATATCCAGATAGAGGAGAAGAAATCTGAGGAAAGGCCTAAGAAAGGATATACCATTAGCAGAATAAGAAGAAAGAAAGAAATATTATAGTGTTTGCATATCTGATATACAACAAATATGAACATGAGTAAAGTAAGAATTTAGTAGGAATCCTTGCTTCTGCTTCATTTACGATGTTTAGTTGTTTCAATTTTACGAAAGAGAAAGAAATGTTTTAGAGATGGTTACCAACTTGATAACATGTGATTTGTTTCCAGACTGTGCCAACATATGCATCAGTTCCTGTAAACAATTAAGAGTTAGAAAAACGCTATTGCATCGTAACAATGTAATTCAACGGAATGCTGATCTAAATTACTTTCTTTAAGGAGCACTCTTTTGAACAGAATTCAGACTTATGACAAATGATCGCAAAACTATTCTTTGATATTGTATTTTTTGCATTCTCATGGAAATGGAATTGCAACTAGTGTGGCGATGAAAGCGTGCTATTCAACACCTTATTTGGATTCATACATAATTCCACATTGTTAGACATCGGCCCGTAGTAAACCCCCCATCAGGGCATCTTTCTCGACGCGGACCGGCGTTGATCTCATCAGCCTCAGTCTAGCATCCGGCGTGCCATTGATCTGGATGCGGATCGCTTCCGAGGCATCACAATCCAGTGTCTTCTTGAAAAGGGAACCACTCGAGCTGGTTTGGTCGAGCAGGTAAGGGACTGAAATTGAACGCGCGCGGCCATGGTTTGACACCGGCTAGCGCCACGTTTTTGCTGTATTGCAGGGCGTCTTTGATAGCGACCACTATCGGAAAATCGATGATGACCGCTATCAAGGATTTCGCCTAGAAAAAACATGGATGACACAAAAACGCATTTTTTGACGAAAATTTTATGGAAAATTGAAATAACTGCAACATAAATCCAACGAAATAAATCTACAAATTCTTGCCTTGAGCAGTTTGTCAAAAAAAAGTCAGTAAAATCTACAAAAAAGAAAAAAAGGTTTTTTTTTCTCTTTTCCTCGCCAAAATCAGCTGTTCATCGATCCTTTCCTTTTCGGGCGCGGTTGTGCAGTTTTGCGCCGATTTTTTCTGCATTTTTTGGCAAAGCTGTGTGTATCGTAAGTTACTCAGGAGCAACTTATGTTAGATGCAGTCACCTCTTGTCTGCGTCTCCTCTTCTACACACTATTTGGATCACTCTAACATCCGTTCACGTTGAGGTGACTTGAACGTGAACTGATGTGGAAGAGTTGACTGCAGCAGGTGGACAGATCGTCAACTATCAGTTGACTTGACCATCTTATAGCATGGTAGGGTGGGTGGTCATCAGTTCACCTCACGTGCGGTGAACTGATGGGTTAAGATGAGTTCACCTCAACTGATCGAGCTTTACTACGGGCCATCCTTTCCCCCCCCCCCCTTCTATTGGATTGTTTCAAAAGTTCTACCCGTTTAAAAGATTTTTCATAAACAACGCTTAAA